CGTCTTGGTTTAAACGACTGTAAATATAGCTTAGTTGGACGGAGTTCAAGAAATTTTCAGGGTTGTGTGTTTTTGATGCAAGTTTGATACCATTAACGCTGTAAAAGTTCACCGTAGATTCGAAGTAAGGGCAAGTTAGAAGGTCAAGCCAAAAGGTTGCATTACCGTTGTAGGCGTTCCATAACGACGATAAGGTTATTTTAATTTGTAAACGAAGTCTTTTTCTCAAAAGCTGTCGAAATAGCGGATTCTCGTATCTTTTCAAACGCTTTTGGTAGATTCTATGCCAAGCCGAATCAGTTCAATTTATTTTTTGGCCCTGTTTAAATAACCAATATTTGGTCTAAATGCAAGGCCTTGATTAAAAATGTATTTTAATGACGCTAAACTTATTTTTTGCCTTGAATACTCTACTTTATTGTTAAAGTAAAACAAAAATATGCAAAATTTTAAAACATGTTTTAAAATTTTGTAACATAGTAACAACATCAAATTTTCGGTATAGCTTCAAGGTGATAGTAAAATCCATTTATCCTACCAGTTTTTTGATTGACTTATATAGTCAAAGGTTATGTCTCTATTAGTAAAAAGTGTGTTTAAGACATGACACTCTTTGTATAAATGTTAAATATTAAAAAGTTATAAAACTCAAAAAAAGGAAAAAACCATGAGACCGAAAGATGTATGGATTATATATAAGAAATTCCTGAAAATTTCAACTTATTTTATTCATTCAATCTTGAGTTATCGTGTTTATCGTGTTGAGTTATCGTGTGTATCGCGTGAATATCGTGTTTTAAAACCATAAAAGATAGTTAAATAATGAGAAAATCAAGTTTTTATCTAAAATAGCTTAAAAAACTTTTTTAAGATATGTTAAAAACCACCAGAAACATAAGATTCACATTTTTTATTCTCATTCTTTTTATCTAAATAGCCTTTTTTCATTGCTTATAATTTTTTTCTTTGTTTTTTAATGATTGGACTGGATTACTTTTCCATTCTTGCAACACGTTGACGATCTCAAGATATAGATTTTTCAGCAGTTACCTTATCATGTTAGGCAAAATCTCTTAAAACTGTATTCATTCCACGATTTTTATCGTTATAAAGCAAAACAGTTGAGGTCATTAAAATTTCAATTGTTCTTCCTTCAATAAAAAGATTTTTGGGACAGCGAATCCATAAAACTGAGTCAAATAATTCATAAGTGTTTTGAGTTTGTCCGTGAACAGATTTGTTGAATAGGTCGTCATCTGATAAATTTACAAAGATTGGTTTTAAATGTAATAAATGGAAATTTATGTTGTTTTTGAATGTTTATGCCATTAATCTTATTTAACTGCCATTTGCACCAAGTAGTGGTATCACGTGGACACGCTGATTCTCATTAGTAAACACAGTACAATGAAACAACACTACATTCTAACTTAAGAGGTATTGTGCCAAAATCTTTATAGGAGTTTGCTGTTATAACTTCTTTAAAAGATGATGAATCTCTATCTCCTAAATACCCATTTCAAATTATATTGTTCTTTTTTATAGAACGTTCAAAGATCATTACAGCGCCAGCTCCCTCCATAGCTCCAGATGACTTAACGTGATTAATATTACATACATGCTATGCTTTCCACCTTTCATAACTTGATGACCCTTTTTATTTTTTCCCAAATTACCTTTACAATGTAAATGAAAACCTTACTATGTTTTGAAATAGCTTGTACATTCACTACTTTATTTTCAATAATACCAGTGACAACTCCATTGAGAGATAAATGGCCTTTTTTCTGACACGCTCTGTCTATTTTTATACGTTGCTTTGTTGGACCATCTGGAGAACCTTATAGATTGTCTGCAGCTTTTTTCATGCTTTTTGACACTGCATCATTATATCCATTATATGTCTCATTAGTATTCAATTTATCAAAAACGTTTTTGACTAAACAATAGATGTTCATGCATCGAGTAAATGTATTTATACTGGCCCCAACCAATTTCTAGAAAAGCAATCACTGCTCTTGCATTAGTTTCAAAGTGGTTTTACTTTTATTATTTACACCAAAATAAAATAAAGCTTTAATTGTAACTTTATAATAATTTACCTTGTATTATATACAGTGGGTGATTAATAAATATAAATAATAATAATATTCAAGTGTAAACAATAAAAATGGCGACAACGAAACGGTAAATAACTTTTTTATAAACTTCATATTATATGAATGGAGAATTACAAGAATGAATGGTATTATGATATACAGCTAAACTTTAAGCTTAAGTAATTTAGAAAACATTTTTATTTGATTTTTTGAAAATTATTTTAATTGTCTTTTTAATCAAATGTCGTGTTATGATTTAAAGCAAGAAAAGAAGCCTAAACTAACACATATTTTTAAAATAAAGTGGTTCTATTTAATAAACAAGTTTTAATAAACCTTTTGTTGAATAGTTACAATTACTAATGGTTGAAACTATGTAGCATATCCATAAAATAATTATTTTTTTAATGTTTTAATAAAAATCATTTCAGTGAATTTTGTTGTTTTTTGTCGAGTAAAACTTATTTATTTTTTTTTTTTTATGTTCGCGGCTTTATCTATCTGTTTTATACTTCCATGGTTGAACATAACGGAAATTACCCGCTATGTTTATTGTATAATTCGTATGAAAAAACCTAACGGTATTTGGCGTTATGTTTTTTTTTATATAAATCATACATCGAACATAACGGTAATTAACCGTTATAAAACACGAAATCGAGCGTTATGTTTTATATAACGAGTATTTTTTTACTGTGTATCATTTAGTAACATGTATATATTTATGTAATATAATCTAAATAACAGTATTTTAAATAACAATATATTATTTTAAACCCTTAACTTTCTTCTGAATTTTATTAACTCAAAATATTCATTACACTATAACAATATCAAAATTGTGCGATAATGTTTAAATACCAACCGTAACACTTATTTAGACCAACATTGCTTCACATAAGCCAACGCAACGCCATGTTGCTTCGTTGGGCCAGTGTAATTATTACAATTTAATGCTATTAGTGTGCATTAAATTATAACTAACTAATAATACTATTATAATGCCAACGTTGAGTTGATGAACAATTGCAACGTTGGTTTGATAAGAAGCAACTTTAGCGCCCAAAATCTTAAACCAACGGTGCGCCAACCTAAAAACAACCTGGGATAAAATGTGCTATACCAACGCTTCGCCGACTGTAGCGTTTGGTTTGGCTAAGGTTGCGCCTACAACTAAATACCAAGAGTATGCCAACGCATTGCCAACAATATTGAGTATATACGATACTAACGTAACATTTTGTTACGCCAACCTCGCGCCTTCAACCGTAAACCGACGGTGCACCCATGTAAAGTCAACCTGTTTTAAAATGAGTTATACCAATTCTAAGTCAACTACAGCATGACTTAGCATTGGTATAATTTAGTTTGGCCAACGTTGTGCCTAAATTTCAAAACCAAAAGCAGGCTAACGTATTGTCAACAACGCTGAATGTATACGACATCAACTTAAGCACAATGGGAAGTTGATCATATGCCAATACGATGCCAACTTACAGCCTACCAAAACGTTTCGTTGGTCCAACATACACAACTACGTTGGACTAACGTCAGGCCGACTAAGTTGTGCTGCTTGGTTAGGATTCACAAACAGGTACACATAAACATGTTGGAGTTTTTTTGATCCAATTTTTCATTATAAAAAAAACAACATTTTTTACCTAAAATAAAAAACGTTCCTTGTTATAGAAAATAAATTTCTTAACTATGGAAAATGGATTTAAAATTTTGCTGTGTTGAAAATACAAAATCAAATTGAACTTTATAAAAAGTTATTTTTGAATCTCAGTGAGTTAAATTAAAGCCAGTATTTGATTGAGTTGAAAACGGCGACTAACTAGAAACTGCTTTGGACGGCAAAAGGTCTAGGTACACCAGTGGCCATGGGTAGTACTTATATAAGCAACTTTAACCTATTATAATATAATACTGTTGCAGCTGTCATACAACGTTATAAGAATAACGAAACTGAAAACAGAGAAATGGTGGAAAATCAAGGTTTAATGCTAAAAAGAAGGCAAAATTAATGGTTGACTCGATTCATCGAAATCCAACACAATAAGATTTAGCTACAAAGTTTAAATGCAATTTTTCATTTAAAGAGTATTGAAAAAGGAAAATCTGAAAACTTGTCAAAAAAAAAAAAATTAACAAATAAATGAAAAAATGGAGAAATGAAAGCAATTAGACGAACTAAAATTTTGCTTAAACTTGTGGTAAAAAAGATTTTGTGTATTTTAAAAAAACCATTTAAGTCTCTGTAAAAATATATTATCAGTCAAAGATTTCTAAAATACGTAAAATCGAATATTTGAAGAATGCACTTTCAAAGGGTGCTATGTCTTTTTTTGAAAAAAAAAAGTTATTCCCCTTGTTTAAATAAGTATATGTTTATATATAACTTCAGCTTAGTTCGTACTTTCAAGAGGTTCTAAGTCATATAATAAAAAGCCATTAAAAACAAACAGATCACTTAGATTTTTGTAAAATCAGTTCCCATTACTTAGCACCATTTGAAAATTTACTCAGATTAATTTCAAATTCATAAACAGATTAATGAACCACAGTCACAATTTTCTACTAACTAATTTGAAATTGTATGGGGAGAAATTGCGATAGATGTTCATGATAAATTAATACAATTAAAAATCGGAAAAGCATTTACAAAATTAAAATAAATTTAAAAATTGATAACAATTACTCGCGAATAGCAAAGCTTAAAAAAATAAGCTACAAAAAGAAATTAAATCTTATGGAGATTTTATATTGTTTTTTTTAAATAAAAAATCTATATAAAATATCAGATTGTGCACACGTAAAGTTTTTAACTGCTAACTAGTGCTATACAACTTATTTGTTACACTATTGCGCAACAAAATCGAATTTTTTTTAAAGTAAACCTTTTTATGTTTTTTTGTACCTTTTTATGCATTTCCGTTGATGCAAAAAAAAATATCTTTACTAATAATTAAAACGTAGTTATATAAACTAACTACTCAAATTTTTTTATCTTTAATGATAAGTAGATATTCTTTTAAAGTGGTTTCCATTTTCCTTCTATCACAGTTCAAGGTTTCGATATTAGTTTCTGCTTTAGTCACTTTTTGTTCGAGAACATTGACCTTCCTATTTGCTTCTTCTTTTCTGAGCATCATTGCTTCCAAGTTTTTTTCAAGATCTACACATGTTTTTTCAGATTTGAATGCTGAATCAATTGCTTCGACGCAACCTTAAAAGTATTGTTTAAAAACAAAAATTAAAGCCAAATTTATTTATCTAAAAAAAGACTTTATTTTCATGGCTATTAGATTTAAGAAGCAGAAAATCATCACAATCACTAGCAGCATAACTTTAATAGTAAAATAAAAAAAAAAAAAAAAAAAAAAAAACCTTTTGCTCTCCGTTCTTCTTCTATACGGTTGTATTCAAGTTCTGTCTGTAACTTTTCAACTCTTTTTTTTTTTTCGTGAACTTTTCCCTCGATTATTTCTAATTTTTCTTCTAGACTACTTTTATGATCTCTTGCTTTCTGATATTTCTAAAAACCCAAAGAAAAACTATATAATATTTCTTAGAGTTTAAAAACCCAAAGAAAAACTATATATTTTTAAGAGAAAAACTATACAGTATACATAAGAACCATTAAAATTAGAAAAATTAATTTTTAAACAACCTAAAAAAAATAAAGCGTAGGGTTTATAATATGGGCTAAAAACTTATGACAAAGTTAAAAAAAAAAAACAAGGATACATAGTATACCTACCGTTAAATTAACTCCATAAATATCTTTATAAATTTTTAGCCTTTTCTCTAGTTCAGCGACCATTCCTACATCAGGAGTAACAGACACAAGAGAGTTATGAAATTTTTTTGATTCTTCAAGAAAAACAAGCTTTTCTTCCATTCGTTTTGAAAACTCCTTTAATTTTTCTAAACACTTTCTTAATGTTTCTTCTTTTTCAGAAATCTGATCTCGCAAACTCATCTTTTTTTGATAGTTCATTTGAATAGTTTTCTTGAGTTCTAGCTCTTGTTTTTCCAAACTATCGGATTTTTCATTTAATTCTTTGATATTTGCCTGCATCGTTTTCATATGTTCTTTAATTCCTTTGACTCCACTGGCCAGACCGGCGTCTAATCTTGCCGAAGTTGACATGGTAACAGGTGATACCACTCTTGAAATTGTAACACTGTATTTAATTGAACGACTTTAAATCCTTAAAATTTTAAAATACAAAAAGTTAAACATGAAGGAGGAGGGGTGAGGTTAAACGAGAAGGAGGAGGGGTGAGGGGGTGAGGTGAAAACTGACGGACAATAGAAGCTAAAAACCTTTTTTTTTTTTTTTGTACACAAAAAGCGACTTTAAAGCCATAATGGTTTTTATGTCGGTTAATAAGATATTTAGCAGAATGACCTTGTTTTTTAATTTTTAAAACGTGAAAAACGGTAAAAAGATAAATTTAAATATAAAATCAAGACAGAACTTTTAACAGGTTAACCTTTAATAACCATACCATATAGAAATTTTCAATGCTTCATGAATAAAAAAAATTATTTTTATAATTTAATTCTAACTGCATATATGTAATATAATAATATAAAAAAATATAACAATTTTTATGATATAAGGCATACTTATACCTAATACAATAAAAACCAAATTATAAGCAAATGCCTAAATACATATAAAAAAGCAAAGTAGGTAAAACTTTAAAATGATCTTTTCATTTTGATATCGGTCCATCTAATTGTTTTCCACATGTCTACCATTTAAGCGTATATTTTGGTATGACTTTTTAATGAATTTATAAGCAACAACAATTTATAATGTTAAGGTATACAACCGCAAGTTTGAAACTTTTTTATAAAAATCCTGAAAGTTTATTTACAGCGTATTAAAAAAACATTTCACATTAACACAAAGAGATTTTTTAATATCACTGCAAAACTTAAGACAAAAAACATTATAAATAAAACATATTTATATATATTCGCACTTAATAAAATCTAATAGTTAATTCGCTTCAAAAGCAATAAGAATTAAATAACTCGCAATAAAAATTAAGTAACATATTAACAAGCAGTAAATAATAATCATCCGCTTTTTTATATTTTGTACAAATGTTTTGAACATAAGAAAAATGGGGATTATATAGCGTGTACGCGCTACATATTCTAATATATATATTCGTATAGAACAGAAGATAACTGAATGATTATCGCATATATAATAAATTTACTTTATTTTGACGTTAAAAAAAACTTTTTAACCTAAACTCTAATTTGCAGACTTGAAATGACTTGATTAAAACTTTAATTTGCTGACTTGAAATGGCTTGATTTAAAAATAATATTTGGTGTAACCATTCTGTTGATAAATTCTAAATCTAATAAGACTTTTACGTTAACAAGATAAAAAAAATTGTAACAAGTTGTAAAATTTTAAAGCGTAAATATAATTGTTTTAACTATAAATCAAAAAGATGTTTTCGTCACTTTTCTTTTATTTATATGTGAACTCAAGAAAATTTGACAGGTAGAAGTCAGCGTTTGTTAATTTAAATTTATTCTTTAAGACAATATACAGTTAAACCTCATTCTATAAAAATCAACATTTTTCATTAAATGTCACCGAAAAACATTGTTACTATGGGTTACCTTTTTATTTTAATAAAATCTTATTCAATTATTTATAAATTTAATCCCTCGAGAATAAAGAACTTATGTTTAAGGACAATTAAGGATTTGGAAACAATATTTAAAAGGAATTTTAACCTTGCTTTAATATTTAAAAGGAATTTTTTAAAAAACCTATTTTTATCTTTTATAAAACCAGAAAACTAATATTTAAAAAAATTAAAAACTTAAGCACAATAAATTTTACATGACTTTTATTTTCATAACTTCATTCTTACAATTTATCTTATTATTATCATATTAGATTATTTTATTTCATTAGCAGATGATGATTTTTTATTCTAAATAAAAATAAAGTCTCAATAAATAACGCAAACTATCTTGGTCCTGAGGCCTTTTGCAGTTAAAAATAAAAATATTTTTATGATAAAAAATTTATAAGAACTCTAAACACTAATAAAAACACTTTTTTTTTATCCTATATAACTTATAGGAAAAAATTCTACTACAAAAGTTTTATAGTATTAAGCTTTAAAAGTGTAGTATAAGCAAAAGTCATGTACAAAGCAAAAATGACATTGTTGCAAGGGGAAAGTAAAAGTGAACTTTAGGTTTCCCCGTAACGAAAAAAAAAAAAAAAAAAAAAGAGCGTTACTAGGTCCGGCACATGAGGACAGCAAACTAAATATATATTGAGTTATTAATCTAAAAACTAGCCAACATAATTAACTTTAAATAATTTTTCAAACTTCATCAAATAAAAAGAAATTAAATACAAATTAAAAAAATACAAGAAGCACATAGCTAAACATAAAAATTTACAAATTAACAAAATCTCCTATTTGTAAAGTAAACTAAGCATTTATATATTATATATATATATATATATATATATATATATATATATATATATATATATATATATATATATATATATATATATAATATATATAAACTTCTTAAATGATTATATCAATAGTTTTTATTTGTTATTTTGTTTCCTTCACTATATATATGATCCATAAATACTTTCTAAAAACTTTTCAAATGCCAATGATTACACAGTTTATTTCACGCGTGGTCTTCCGATATTATGAGCATTGGTCTCTAGCAGTAGTGTAATTTAAAAGAATGCCTTCTTTTTGAAAATTTTAAATGTCGGGGTTACGGAAACCAGCTTTTAAAAGAGTTTTAAAAATACTTAGGAAAACTAAAATTTTAACAAAATCCTCAATATACTTATACGATTGCCGGTTTTAAGAAGTAAGAAATACTGAACAACTTCTGTAACGTGTGCTAATATATCTCAACGTGTTACTCTTGGTTCAGAAAACCATAAAGTTGTTATAGATATAGTTTTCAGGTTGTAATATAGTTTTCAGAGATTAAAGGGGAAGGGGCAAATGAAAAAAAAAAAAAAAGGAAGAACCCACCCTAGACAAAAACACCTATAGGATTCAATAAAAATTTAGAACAAAAAAAACAACTCAGATTTGAACTATTGATTAAATTAAAACACGTTAGTTAAAAAAGTGTTTATAGTTATCAAAGCTTTTTTTTTTGTTTTGTTCCAAAGTCCAAATTTTGGTCCAATAGGACTTTTATACTTTTTATTTTAATATTTTTTTTGGCTAGGGCATTCTTACTTTTACAACTAAACTACTGGTTTGTATTTTTAAAATTCTGTTCAGCAAAATTTTTTCTAAGCGGCAGTAAACTTTCGGGCGGTCGCACAATGATCCACCACATCTGTTAAGTTAACAAGAACTGGTAAAGGAGTACTTCTTATTGGATAAAGCAAACATTCTCGTTCATTGTTAGTGACATAATTTATCTAAAGTTATACAAAGCAGAAAAGGTTATTTTAACGAAATAAAATTTCACAAACACATTACCATTGCTCCCATTATTATGCTTAAAAATTTTTAAATTTAGAAATAACTGATTTCATGAAAATTGATGAAAATGAAAATTCATATTAAAAACGTTTTAAACTTTAAAAAAATATTACTTCATGTTTGTTTCCGCATAAATCAAATTAATACTCAAAGCGGAAAAAATAAATTACTTGGTGTGACTTTAGATCAACACCTAACATTTAAAAATCGAATAGATTTAGTCGTTTCCAAATGTAACTCATATTGGTAGAATTAACCTGTATAGCTTCCAGATTACAAAAAAAAAATGCTATAGATGACGTTAAGATGGGGCCCATAATACCTTACATGCTACCTATAAATACCTATTTAGTTTTAAATAAAGATATTGCGTGTAGAACATTAAATTTTTAGTTATAGCCATTAAATCTTGTGTCGCTGAACCTATTGTTCCTGTCTGTCCTGACGGAACCTATCGTTCCTTCCCTGACACAAGTTTTGAATGCTTGTAACTAAAAATTTTGAATTCTCCTAACATCGTTTTTACTCAAAGTTAATTAGGTATTTATAGGTGGTATGTAAGCTACAATTGCCCTTTTCTAAACGTTTTTAGCTTTTTTTTGAATTTTCAATTTAGTTTATAAATGTCATTCCTTTTGAAAAACAAGACTTTTCAATCCTGCCCCACTGCCTTCAAACGCCAAAGATGTCTAGCAAAATCGAGGATAAAAAAACAACCAAACTTTTATAAATACACAAAAACAAAAATAAACTATTGTTTTAAGTACAATTATTGCTTTAATTAAATTTTATTTTTTTATTCTCAGAATACAATTACCGTAATTTTTCGGGAAGCATAATTTACATATAAACATATATGTTTTATTCATACATTTCATTCCTGCAAGTTACATAGATCGCTAAAAAAAATAGATTTACGTACTTGACTATATTTAGTTTACAGTTTCTTGGTTTGAGTAATTTCCGAAATTTCCCGAAATACTAGGTCGAATTTGCTTAATTAGAATTTATATTAGAAATAGAATTGCTTAAATCTCTTTATCAATTTCATTACTTCTTAGATTATTGGTCTAAATCAAGTTGCCTTTAACAACTCATTAAAACTGTGAGAAAGAATTCAGTAGTACAGCACGAAAAAAAAAATGTCTCTGAGCATAATATTTAAATTTGCCGAAAATCAATTGATTTGTGATATACAGGGTGGCCCAAAAGTCAACAGACCATTTTAAATTCGAATAACTTTTTACAATTAATAAAGATAATTTTTTAAATTTCAGATTATTAAAGCATAACCCTCAACGAACGATATTCAAACGATACTTAACTATCGTTTGTTTACATAGTGATTTCAAATTTACGAATCTGTGAGTGATCTACCGCATGCTGAGAGGCCAAACTCAGGGAGATCACAAGACAATATTTAGCGTGTATGCGAAAGCATTCAGCGGAATTGAAGAAAAGCATTCAGTGTCAACTCAAAGGTAGTCTCAACAGCTTTGAACATTTCGAACTTCGCCCTAGAGGATTTAAAAGACTCTGATACTTGTTCCGTATAAGATAAAGGTAGTGAAGGGACTGGTGCCATCATTGCTATCCATTACCAAAAATTGGCAAAGAAAGAACCTGAGTTCATTAACAACTTTATAATGGGCAATGACACCCGTTTCCACCTAAACATTGATGTTAATAAACAAAATATGCAGACTTGGGGTACAGAAAATCCAAGAATAGTCATCAATATTGTCTAAACCCTGTAAAAGTAACAGTTTGGTGTGGTGTACATGTAGAAATAGTTCCTGGACCATATTCTTTAAAGATGATGCAGAAAACAAACTAACTGTCAATGGCAAATAGTATTAAAAAATAAGAAATTCATACGCCCTGCAGTTGAGGACACAATAGAGATATAATGGCAGCAAGATGGTGCTATTGCTCATAAATATCGTCTGACAATGAATAGTAAGGTTGAATAGTTAGGTTGAATAGTAGGCTTACCACAGTAAGCCTGTTCAACTATTCAGCAAATGAAGGCCAATATTTGTAAAGAAATTGAAAAACTGAGAAACATTACGATGTGAGATGGTTCACTCCCTAGAAAAAACGCATCAGTGTAAAGAGTAAAAAAAATGGATATTTAAAAAGATGTTATTTTCAAAGTCAAATAAAATTTACTTCCATGAACTGTATTTTCTGCTTATAAAATGATAAATATGAATTAAGACAAAATAAAAAAGTTATTTCTATTTTAAATGGTCTAGTAACTTATAGGGCCTCCAAGTAGTTGATTATTTCTTTAACTGTAATGCAGTTACAGCCGAAGAAGCAATTTTTATGAAATCAGAAAGAAAAAAAATTTTGAGCTGAAGTTAAACCTAGTCTAAAGAACATTTTTATATTTCATTAAAAAACTTGCAGAATAATTGTATATTTCTTTGAAAAAACCTGTAAACAAACTTTCAGGTCAGTTTATAACAAACACAAAAAAGAAATTTTTATCTATGTATTAGATCTTGATTTCCTACTAGAATGAGACATAAACGAAACTTTTAAAAATACAGGAAGGTCTAAAAAACAGTTAAGCCTACAAATTCTGTTTAATAGACTTCTTTAAAAATGCTATCAACTATAGGCTTTCGCTAAGTGAGTGCAATAGCGAGTGAATGCAACACCAGATATAATAACCATAAACCATCATTCAATAATGTTAAAACAAAAAATCCATTGCCTTATCTGACTACGGTATTTTCCAGGATTGCCTTATCTGACAAAAGGATACTTTTCTGAGATTGAAAACCAAACTTAATAAAACCCATATTTTTACATAGCCTATTCTGAAATCTTTACCCCTCTACTCAAATATTTAACAAACCCACTATCTTTATATGTTATACATTATATCTTTGTAAATATTTTTCATTAAATTACGTTTAAGGAGTTTTTGAGAGATTTTTCTTAATTGTACCAGAAATATGGAAATTACTAATAAATTAGGAAATACATTTACTCTCATATTTTAGTACTAATTAAAAACCAAAAATAATATACAGCCTTAAAAGCGGAGAAAAATATCACAAAACTTGAATAACTTTGATTAATCTTTAGAGAAAGTTTTTCTAAATCATATTAATCCTATGATTGAGGGTGTCATGATTCAGACATATTTTTTCGAAAAAGAATAATAAAAAACTAATTATAATATTAATACCATAATAGATTTCGCTCATGTTTTTCAAGTGATAGCAGATTTAGAACTTCAAAAATTCAAGTTGACATTAATTTAGATCATTATTTTGGATTATTTACTAAAAAACTCTAAAATATCTTTTTTGAATTTTTGCTAAGTTTTCCAAAAAGATTTTTTATACTTATTTATGTATTCTTATGTTTAAAGGTTAGCTAGATTACCTAGTTTTTAACCTTTAGCTAGATTACCTAGTTTTTTACAATTTATTATTATAACTTACCAGTTTAGGACTTTTTTTTTTTATAAATTCTCCTTCTTTAATGGTAACCCCCTCAGCAACATCAATGATATCAACCTAAAAAAAATTAATATTATTTGACATAAATAAAAATTAAAAAACAAGATCAGAAATTTTTTTTTTAAATAAAAAGATTGCCTGCCCTAACCAAAACCTTGAGTCGATGTAGCGGCACTCCTTGCATGTTCTACCTGTTTCAGTCATTGTATGTACACTCCTCACATGTAAAAACAAATATAATAACAAAAATAAAAACAGTAAAAAAGTAAAAACATTAAAAAAATATAAAAACATAAAAAAATAAAAAAAACATATTTTACATTTAAAATAAAAAAGATTCATATATATATATATATATATATATATATATATATATATATATATATATATATATATATATATATATATATATATATATATATATATATTTTTTTTTTTTAATTCGAGACCCAATAATCTTAAACCAAGTGGAATCTAAAAGTTTTTCTTCACTCTCTAGTATTTTAATGGCATGTGTTTCATTTGAGTCTTATGATTCTTATACAGAATTAAATGATATAAATATTGCTGAACTTATAAAAAAAGAAGCCTACAACAATTGCAGAAACAATAAATTTGATTATTTTCTTTGTTTAACTGCATTATCTACAGTGTTAAATAAACAAATTCGGCCTATTTATCCTGAATTTGCACTTGAAAATTATAAAAAAGTTATTTAATATATGTATATACCCATGTGGTGATCATAAAACAAATAAAGAAATTCTGAGTATTTTATAGTGTAACACTGATTGTCGCTCTATTTTCAAGAATAAAAATATGTGGTCACCAAATCATTTTGTCCTTATTATGAAAAGAGAAGTTTTATGCTCAAAGAAATTTGTCAAAAGTGATTTAAAAAGAGGATCGTGTTCAGTTTTGTTAAGTGTTCTATGGCATTCTTCTGTTACCACTAAGGTTCTTAATTTATCTTGTCAACCTCCTAAAAATCTATTTTCAAAAAAAAATCATTAGTTCAATCTTACATAAAGTTTGACATAGGTAATGAAACTAAAATTATAGATGTAAATACTGATATTACTCTTAATCCAATCTTACTTAATTGTATTCCTTGTTCATCAGATCTTCAAGCCTTCCTTTTTATGATTATTTTTATACTGTTGTTGTTTCTACTTACTATAAGCGCGGTAGACATCTATCTGCTGGCAAAGATGATTCAATGTTATTAGATCTAGTTAATAAAATATTTATTCCTAACTTGTCTTTTGTTTTTCCTATTTCTGGTGAAAAAAAGAAACGCCCATTTTTATATAAATGGCTACTTATATAAATGGCTACTTCCTGGTTAGCTTACTCACAGATAGAAGATGGAGCATACTGCCTTTCATGTACACTGTTGGGAAGCAGAATTCCAAACAATACCTCAATAATCAACTTTATTCGAAAACTTTTTAGAATATGAGGCAATGCAACTCATGCTTATATGGATCACAATGATAATTGTAGACTTCATCAAATATCAATGCAGTGTCTTAACATGCTGCAATCTAGATCTAATTAAAAAAAAAATCTGATTGAAGTTGACATCAACAATCTTAGAAAAAAACTTATTATAAGTAATTGAAATAAATTAATTCCAATTATGAAGACAATTATTTTTCTTGGTCCCAATGATATTGCTTTTCGAGGTCATCATGATGACAGTAAATATTATCCAGAGATCAGAGAAACATGTAAAGACAACATTGATAAGGTAACTTTGTAGAGCTTTTAAATTTTTGTATTGAAGGAGGTGATAAAGTTCTTGAGCACCATATTTATTCTGCTCCTAAAAATGCAACCTTTATATCTAAAACCGCACAAAACGAACTTATTAAATGCTGTGGAAAAACAATCGAAGAAGTTCTAATTTATAAAATTAAAAAGTCAGGATATTTTTCTATCTTGTGTGATGGAGCCTCTGATTGTTCTAATGTTGAACAGCTATCTCTAGTTATAAGATGCATTGACTGTGATAATGTTATTTGTAAAGATTTTCTACGGTTTATTGAATGTAAATTTGGTACAACTGGTACCAAATTTACATTCAATAGTCTTGCTCAAAGCATAATTTCTGCAATTGATGATCTTGCTCAAAACATAATTTCTGCAACTAATGAACATTGCCCCAGCACCATCATATCCATGATGGTGCAGGGGCAATGTCTGGTAAATTAAAAGGTATTTCATCAAGAATTAAATTTATCAATTTAAAGGCTATTTTTGTTCATTGTGCATGTCATAAACTTAATTTAGTTGTAAGTAAATCATGCAATGTTCAGAATGTTAGAAATGTTCTTGATCAAATCAAAGATATATCATACTTTTTTAACTTATCATCTAAACGTGCCAGCTATCTCAATAAATTCATTTTTCCGGGTCAAGCAAAATTAATTGATGGGTTCAGAAACTTAAAGGTCTGGATGTTTTTTTTGATAACTGCATATCCGTTTTTCATTCATCAGAAGAAATGGCATACAATGAAATGAAATAAACTGTTTAAAAATTCAAATTTTAGATTTAAAAAAAAAAATTGATGTCTATCATAACAAATGGTACTTAATTGTTTTTGATCTAGCTAAGACTCTTGATGTTTCTTTAGTTAAACCAAGGCTCTGTGGCAGACAAATTTATAGAGATAATTATCCCTCTGACACAGTTTTAGATTATTTCAAATATTCTATCACATCTCCTCCTCTAGATCATTTAATTAATGAATTAAAAGATAGATTTGATGAAGGTGAAATGGTTGTTTACAAAGGTTTATCTGGTATTCCTGCAACTGTTGTAAAAAAAAATAAAGAAAAATGTTTTTGGAAGTTAGATTTTAATGAATTTTTGCATTTTTATACATTGGATATGGCTCATCCTACATCAATTCATGCTGAATTAGATTTGTGGGAAACATTTTGGAACATTGTGATCCCATTGACTATTACAGAGACTTTAAAATCTATTGATATGAGGGGTTTCCCAAACATTAGGGAAAGTTTTTTAATAATGGGATTAATTCCAATTACTACATGTGAATGTGAGAGGAGCATTTCTGTTATACCCAGACTGAAAACTTTTATGCGAAGCCGCATGATAGAGTCAAGATTTAATTCTTTAGCTCTGATGTCTATTCATCAAGAAATAATTCTTGATGTAGAAAGAGTTTTAAATATTTTTTCTGTTTTAGGGGAACAAAGCTTAGAATTGGTTTTTACCTAATATAAATTTATTAATTTATTTTTTGTTAATTGATTATATTCTTGTATTTTATTTTATTTTTTATTTAAGTTTATCTTATATTTAGTGAAAATTAAAAAAAACCAACATAAAAAATTAAAAAAAAAAACTTGGCCTAACTGCCTATCAAGAAAATGAAAGAATCCAGAAATTGAGGGCTAACCTAAAGCAACAATATTAATACTTTACATAAATTGCCTATCAAGAAAAGGTAAGAATCCAGAAATAAAGGACTAACCTTAGGCAACAATACAATTACTTTACACTAACTGCCTATCAAGAAAAGGAAAGAATCCAGAATTGGAGGGCTAACTTTAGGCCACAAGACAGTTTACAGATGGAGTGCAAAGTCCTATGGCTTACCTTCTTGTTGGTGCACTTTTAAAATGTTATTAATTTCTAATTAATAACATTTTTCTAAGAACAAATATATAATAATAAGTTTTGTTTTTTTTTTTTTTTACAAATTTAAAAAGCAACTTTTTGTATTTAATAATTTTTTTAGAATTGAGTTATCTTTCATTTTTAACTGCAAAGATTATGTATTGCAAACATCTATTTTTATATTGTTACTTTATGTTGTTAGTTCTACCTTGGTGTTCTACTAAACTACTTGGTGTTCTACTAAACTACTTGGTGTTCTACTAACTATCATTAATTACCTTTGTCTATTATTTTTAATGATTTAAAATTTACTATGTTAATCATTAGCTAATAGTTAATCCTCGTAAATCTTACAACTACCTTAAAGCTGAATGGAAATCTTTCCGTGATTTTCTTCATGAGGGCCCCCTTTGGTAGAAATCTTTCATCTTCCAGTTGACAAATGTGCTTCATAGATAACTTCGTGGATTCAGGCTGGCATGGAATTCTTTATTCCCTTTGGACGATACCAGGTCAAGCTTCACTCTTCTCCATGGTTTACCTCACATTGTTCTGCTGCAATTTCCAATCGAAACTGTTACTTCAATATCTATCAGCAAAATAATTCTCCATAAAACAGACTTCTGTTTATAAAAAGGTTTTGTCTAACGCCAAAGCCTGCTATTTTCAGGCCATAAAATCTCGCATTTCATCACAAAAATTAGGCTCTAATGACTTTTGGAGAATCTTTAATAGTATTAATAATAAGACATTTGTATTACTCTAGCTTCTGTATCTAAAGTGATTTCCTGCTTAACCTCTTCTACAGCTTGTGGTTTGGATAACATGCCTGTTGTAGTCTTGCAGAAAAGTTCTCCAGAGCTATCGCCTATACTTTCAAAACTATTTAATAAGTGTTTATCGGAGTCTTGTTGTCTGACATGCTGAAAAGTTGCATCTGTTATCCTTATTTTCAAAAATTCTGGAGAGCAATCTGACTCATCTAACATCTAACTAATTAGTCTTATTCCTATCATAAGCAAGGTTTTTGAATCTCTAAAACCTTGCTTATGATAATCTCTTCCTTCCAATTGTAGTATAAAAATTGTCCTCGATAGACAGCACTCTTCTTCTTATTTTGTAACTTTGGGGTTCCTTAAGATTCAATCCTTGGTCCTATACCCTTTTTAATTTATATAAATGATCTTCCAGATATTCTCACATCTAATGTGGCATTGTTCACTGATGATACTACCATTTATTCTTATCTTGACAAGATGCCAACACTCTCTAATCACTTGGAGGGGGCATTTGAGCTTGAAAAGTGTCTCACTTCTACAGCATGGGGCTCACAGTGGCTGGTGACCTTTAATTCAGATAAAACCCAATTTTTTTCATTGTTACCGCAATAATTTAGATCTTCCTATATTTATGAATGGTGATGAACTTGACAAGTTATCTACCCTTTTTTTAGGATTAACTCTTACTTCTGATCTTTCTTTTTTTTTTTTTTTATTCATTTTAATTCACCTCCTCAAGGCCGAGAAGGCCACTACAGACGAGGAGGCTACTTATTTGTGGTTATAACCCTCTCTCAACTCTATAACTCTGAAACACAAACCTTGACGAACAAGACCGGAAACCTTTCTGAAAGTTTTCTTGGAAACCATATATCAAACACATTGCAAAATTAGCATCTGCTAAGGTTGCATCTCTATAATGTAATGTTGCTTCTCTTTCTCTTTTCTACAAATACTATAACAAGCACTGCTCTAAAGAGCTAGAATTTCTTGTGCTATCTATTAAAATTCATTCTCATGTTACTCACTATTTAATTAAGTCTCATCCTTTTTCTGTGACTATTCCTAAGTGCTCCAAAAACTCTTATTTGTCTAGTTTTTTTCCTTGAACATCAGTTCTTTGGAATTCACTTCCTTCACCTTCCTTTCCTGATTCATATAATTTGCAATTTTTTAAGTTTTCTGTCAATCGCTATCTTGCTCTATAAACTTCATATTTTCCTTTCTAGTAACTGTTAACTCTAATAGTGGTTGCTTGCAGCCTTGTTGGAAGCTAAGATGTTGAAAAAATGTATATATATATATTTGAATTACAAACCTTCTCTTTCTCTTTGCAAATAACATCTTCTTGTGTTCAAGAACATGAAAAGTTTAATTTATAGGTTTAAATATTTTATTTCTAGCTGAGATCAGGTACAAGTAATACCGAAAAACACTGAAATTAAATAGTAATTTGTTTTTTGATTGAAACTTTAAAAAAGAATTTAAGGCCTATAGACCCGCACACACACACTCACACACAAACACACATACACACACATATATATATATATATTTATATTACCAAATTTAGCTTGCGCTGTTCTAATATTTTTTGCACATTTTAAGTTAAATAGACTTACTAGCAGTATAACAAACTTCTTTCTTTTCCCTTTTCTTGATTTTCAACAGTTTAAGTAAATGATAAAAATTATTTTGTACTTTAAACATAAAAATTAAATTGAAGATTGCAATGTGACTAAAATGCCACAAATTTCTTGCTCCAGTTAAACTGTTTAAGACTATTTTAGTAACATCATAAGCTTTATAGACTTTTTTAAAACTTGCTTTACAGTAAATAAATTAGAAATGGAAAGTAAAGTTTTCAAATTTACATGTAACACTTCCCAAGCATTCAAAAATATGATTTTTTTAAGAACTCTATAAGTTTCTTCTAGGTAAGTTGTTAATATGAACAAGCAGCTTAATATTAGTTAAAACTTCCGAGACAATATTCTAAAGGTATCAAAGGATTTTTTACTGTTTGTTTATCTATATATATAACTTTCAGAAATTTTCAAATTCCAGTATTATTTTATTATATAGAACACGTTTAGAGGGTGGGATAGGCTGTAATATATTATATTACTCTATTAAATAAAAAAAATTAAATATACTAATGCAGGTGGCGATAGTCTTCTGTGTACATCCATTGATATGCTTGTTGTATTTAACTTAGTGACTCTTCTGGTGCTTGGAAATTTAGTATAAACTTGATCATCTATATCATCACAAATGGAATACTTAGGACAAACCCTAAAATTTAATGTAATGTAAATGCACTTTCATAAATCAATCACTTACATAAATTTATAGAGTTTTTATATAACTTAAAATAGTGACCTTGAATATTTTTTTTATATACATATATGTCGTAACACTAAACTGATTCTATATTGGAACAGGTTCTAGGCTCTAAAGCTATGATAAAGGTTACTTACTAAGAAGCTTTAAGCTATGGTGAAAGTTACTTACCTAGAAGCTTTAAGCTATGGTGAAAATTACTTACCTAGAAGCTTTAAGCTATGGTGAAGGTTACTTATCTCTAAAATAGAAAACTCAGATATAAAACCCTCAATTTATTTGTGATTGAAAGTGTATAGTAATTCTGCATAGAATGTTTTGTTTTGCGTTTGTGATCAATAAGTTAGAAAAAATTTTGGAATATTTTTGCGACCAAATTATTTTTTAATTTAAACAAACTGAAGGATGCTATAGATAATTTGTTCATAAGTATTAAGGACTCTCAGATTTTTCATTACTAGCATATCCATTTGTAAAAATGCGGCATGTTTGCTTTTATTTTTTATAGACTAAAGTTAGTTTTGATTGGTAAGTAGTTGCCCAGGCAACATTACAGCAGCTAATGTAGCTATGAACAAATGCAAAGTATAAACTTTTGTAGACTTAGTTTTATGCATAATCCCAATACTTTTAGATATTTTTTTTCTAATAACTTGATGTACTCTTTCCAGCTAATACACTGCGACCATTTCCTATAGACGCATGTAGAATTTAGCGGATTTACAGTGTTACAGTGGTAATAAAATTGTTGTAACGGTACTTTTGAATAAGTATATGTAAGAAAACAATGATCCATTAAGCATCTGATTATTAATTGTCTTGATTGTATTAAAATAATTAAATTTTTATTATTCCTGTGGCAATTTTCTATAGACGCACTAAAGTTTTTACAAGTTTTTTCACAAATTTCTTATATTCTGTAGTATTTTTTATTTTGTGAGTCAAAATTAAGTTGATCTTAACCAAATGCCAAAAGGAAAGGTCCTTACCGATATTGAAAAAGGTCAAATATTGGCTTTTCATCGAGAAAAAGTTCCCAATTGAGAAATTGCTTGAAGATTGAAGAGACCAGATCATGTTATCCATAATTTCTTGAAAAATCCAACAGATTATGCAACAATCAAGAGGAAACCAAAGAAATCTAAGGTTTCAGGCCGTGAAAAACGCAGACTTGTTGAATTCGCATCAAATTCATCAAAAAGTTTGAAAATAATGAAGTCAGATTTGGGTTTAAATGATTGCAAGGAGACGATTAGAAAAGTTCTTAAAGATAGCCCACACATTGTACAATCAAAAATGAATAAAGCACCAAATTTGAAGCTCGTTCACAAACAGAAATGATAGGAATTTGCCCGCAAAAACACGACACGAGATTGGGAACAAGTAAGAAATTTTAGATTAAATTCTCATGAATACGTAAGATGTCTAAATAGCTGAATACTTTTGTTTTACCAGGTGATTTTTTCGGAAGAGAAAAAGTTTAATCTAGATGGACCAGATGGTTTTAGTGGCATAATTTGAGGAGAGAACCCAAATATTTTTCAATGAAAAATTTTGGTGGCGGATCTTTGATGGTTTGGCTTGGGTTTTGTGCAACAGGAAAGTTAAATTTAGCATTTACATCTTGCAAAATGAAAAGTTCTGAATACATCGATGTACTAAAATCATGTTTGAATCCATTTAAAAACAAATACCGACACAAAAAGTTTGTTTTTCAACAAGACAACGCCAGCATTCACACTAGTAACAAGACTAAAGCTTGGTTTGAAGCTAAAAAAGTCAAGCAAATGTGATCGCCTGCTCTCACTCCAGATTTGAATCCTGTTAAAAACATCTGGGTAATCATTGTAAGACGTATCTATGCTGACAAGAAGCAATAAAAATCTGTGGCAGAGCTAAAAGTAGCAGTATCAGAACGCTGGGAGGATATTAACGAATTTATCAAGTAATTGAGTGCAAAGGAGGTCCAATCGAGTACTAAAAATGTGATAAAAACATTTTTTTTTGATAGTTAAGTTAAAAAATGTAAACTGCGTCTATAGAAAATAGACAGCTATCTTTTGAATTTAATTCATTTATGTTTGATCTCTTTTCAAATTTGATATTATTTTTTGATAATTTCCATTATTTTTTGATACTTTATTTACAATTTATTGAAATACATAATAAAAATAAATTTAAGTACATTTTTAAGACATAATCCTCCTATAGAAAATAGTTGCAGTGTATAAGCTTATTTTGTAATTTTAAATTTGTTTTTATATGTATTAAATAATAGTAAAATAATAGCTTTGTACTTGTTGTGATTTATGATTCAACTTGTGTATTTTTTTATGAAACTTTTTCATTAGTAATGAGTATTTTTTTAATATGTAATACTATATATGAAGGTATGATAATATAGAATAATATTTTTTTAATAAGTAATGAGTTGAAATACAACACTTGTACTGAAATGTAAAACAAATAATGAATATTTAAGTATTCAGTCTAGGGATTATAATGAAGTGTATCTAAGTATTTTAAAGAGGTTTGTTGGAACAGAAGGATTAAACTAAGGTTTTTAATTGTGAACAATTTTTAATAAACAATTTAGTTTAACTTTTTGATTCTAAAACAAAATTGTCTTGAGTCATCACTCTAAATTTAGAATTTAAATTTGAAACATAACACATTCTATAGAACTTGATTGAGTGATGATTCAAGACAACTTTGTTTTATTATTAAAATGTTAAACTAACAAACCTCCATTACACCACAGTTACACCCCTAATACACCCCTAATACAGTGCAATACCTATTAACTAATTTATATATACAAGGCTGTACCCAGAAGTAAATTTAAATACTGTTTACCTATAATTGACTTATAGTTTGAACTAAAAATTCGCATAAAATCTACACTACATAATATCTACACTAAAATCTACACTACATAAATATACCAAAGAGAATAGCACTACCCCTAAAAATAATAAGTGGTATAATCACATAGTTATTGGGTTATAATAAAAACATATAACAACTAAAAATAACTAACCTGTATTGTAACAATTAAAAATAACTACCTGTATCTGGGTAAAGTACTGAGATTCAATCTTTCAAAACCATTATGTTTATCTTTTATTTTATTATGAAAGCGATTAGTAGTGTTGGCGACTTGTTTATCAAAGTTTCTAATGTTATTGGTTATGTCAGGTAAAGATAGCTGAGCTGTGATACATGCATTCACATTAGATTCATATGACATTTTATTATCAGCTTGAGTATTGACAGCATTCTTATTATCAATGCTTCTGGATAAAGAACATTTTACTGATTGCTTGGCAACTTGGTTAAGTAATGAAGAACAGTTTGCTGATTTACTGACATCTTTAAAAGGTAATAAATTAGTATTAGTATTTCTATTTTGAAATTTCTTTGGTGAAATATCTTTTGTCATCTATAAAAATTAAATAAAAGTATTACACAAAAAAGTTTTGATAACTATGTGAACAATAATTTTATTATTAAAACTTTAGAGATGTTAGGTTCTCTAAACTTTAATCTAACCTTGCACTCTATTGAAGCAGGAGAAACAACTTTTTTAAATGGCAATTCTTTGTTCTGTAATAAATATGGTTTTTCTTCATACCTAGCTTTGTCTTTCAAACTTGAAACTAACTCATTTGAATCATTAGATCCTGAAATTTTGGAAATCTTGCAATCTTCTTTTAAACTAAGATCTTTTATAAAAGATATCTCACTAAAAAAAAATCAATAAAATAAAAACATTAACAATTGCTGTGCAACTATTCAGCAAACTATTTGTATTGAAATTAAAATTTTAAAAATGTAACAAAGTAAATGAAACCACGGCAGATAATTTTAAAAATGTAATGAAGTAAATAAAACCAGGGCAGATAATTTTCTATAAAAATAAATAAGAAAACTAAAGAAGGCTTAAGGTGTTGACTAAATAAAGGTTCTAGTAAATAAATAAAATGATTGCTGTCTAAAAGTAACTACAACTTTTTTGTTGAAATAAATTACAAACAATTCAAAGTATGCCTACCATATGCCAAAGAGATTGAATAATTGATTTCTTTTTAAATTAAAAAACTTGTAAAAACCTCTGAGAATTAAATATACAAGATTAAAGATTAATATATGAGGTAAATAAACAAGCTTTATACTAGATATACAAGATGTAATGAAATGTAATGAAGTAAATAAAACCAGGAATCATCTAAAAATTATGATTACTATTTCTCTGTCAATGATTTTGTCATTCAATGAAACATATTTTTAAACTATAACTTTAATAAAGCTATGCTAAGCATCCAAAACAGCATTTAAATTCATCATTTTCAAGTCAGGTCAGGTTATCCTATTGGAAACATGTAACCCAGTATAACCTGTTTCATGTCCTGCCTTGTAGGATATGCTTTTTTAGGCAAAGGCTAGGAGATGCCAACTCTGATTTAACACACACCCTGCCTTGCGGCTCTTGGTTGAGTTAAGGCTAGAAATAGTGTTTCAATAAAAATACTCATCTTGGGCAAATATTAAATGCATCTGGCTACTGTAGAAGTCTTTGCTTCTATGACAAAAACTTAAAGGGTAAACAAATTCTAACTGTTGACCAGCCTCTCACCCCTTCTTTCTCTATTAGGCTGGCGCAGATGTATTTTTAACACATTGTTTCCAGTTTAGGATGTTGAATGCTTGATCTTCCTGACTCAATCCATGGGTTTTGTCTCTGTTTTTATGCCTAGGCAACTTTTACCTAGAAACCTTTTACCTCAGACAGCTATCTGTTAACCTCTTCTCTATTCACGATGTGAAATGCAATAAAGGTCATGTTTATGCGTACCATGAAGGCACAGCCAGAAAAAGCCCTGATGAGGTGTGCTCTTTTGTGTATATAACCTACCTAATGTCTGCTGCTCTACAGTTTACTGAAGTCTACTCAAATAACTGTGGTGGCCAAAATAAAAACCATGCACTAAACAGAGTCTTTTTGGCTCTCACAGAGAACCAAAAAGACTCTGTTTAGTGCATGGTTTTTTTTACTGGCCGATTTGATCGAATCGAGCAATACTACCCAATAAGAGGTCACTCGTACCTACCTTGTGACCGGGACTTTGTGGTAATAAAGAGAAAATTGAAAAGATATGACAGGGTGTACACAGTTCACCAGATAACTGAACTTATTATTACTTCTAGTACTACTTGTAAATTTACTGTTGAAGTTGCAACAGAAGATATTGTAAATTTTCAAAAGTGGTGGCCAACATTCTACAAAAAATCTTGCATTTCGGAAGAAACATGGGGCAAGAAAGTTCCTGCTAAGGATAAGATAAGTTTTGGAATAAGTTCTCTAATGCACTTCACTTACAGGTCTTCTCCAGGTGTAATTGTCTGTAGGCCTCTCATTGATAGGCTGTCATCAATCGCATTGTTGAGTTTTTGCAAAATGTGTGCTATCCATTGGGTAATGTTCCGATAAAAAAAGTGAAACTGCAGGATATTAGGAAGCTAATACAATATGTTCTGGATGAGTTCAGTGGTTTTTATGATGAACTCATGAGCTGGCCAACAACCGACGAGGCAAATGACAGGGAGGAACACGATATCCAGTGAGGTGTCTGACAAAGGCTTTGTGATTGGTCCTTTTATACATTGTGTGATTTAATATGTGTAATAGTTTGACTTTTGCTTTTTAATAGTTTTTTGTACAAAAAATGAATAAATATAAGACAAGCATTTTGTTATTTTCCTTAACACATGTAAACAAAAAGGTTTTAAGTCAGACAACTTTAACTATGTATAACACATATATGTATCATAAATTTTGATATATTTAACAAATCTAATATTTAAAGATGTCAAAAAGCACCCAGATTTTTTTTTGAATTTATTAAAGTAATAATTTTGGATTTAATACGTTTTTTCTTGTTTTCCGAAAAATTAGTTTTTGTGACTTATAATGTTTTTGTATACATCAATTCATATATACAATACATAAACTGCACATTGAGCCAAGTGATATTCCATACATGACAATGGATTATTCTGCAGGTATTAAGACTCACAACTTTTGCTTTTCTCAATCTCTATAATAAATAGTCAAATTTATAACTTGCTTTCCAGACAATCAGAATTATTTACCATCACTAATCAACTTACGTCTTGTTTCTGATCCTAGTCAGTGCTCAGAAGTAAGCGACCGGGGTTGATATTTGACAGGAGCTGGGTTTGATAAAATATAGCCGGGGTCAGGGCTGGGTTTGTGACCGGGGCTTCATAAAAATTTATACATCCTAAAGTATATTTTTAAAATTCAAAATTCATGTTATATTTTGTATATATATGAATATAAAAACATCATTATGATTGACATGATCAACATGATCACCATCATCATCATCTTCTCTTTTGGCAAATACTACACCATATGAATACTAAAGTTTATATAAATATGAAAGGATATTGTATGCCAGCATCAAAATAAATAGCAAACATATTTGTCTATATAGTGCATAAGTGCATAAAGTGCATCTCAGAAGCTTTTATTCCTTCTGAACTAAAAGCTTGGAAGTTTTTATTTCTACTTTTCAAGTCAAACCTCATTCTACTGCATATTTTTCACCATCTTGTAAAGTTGCTTTATAATGATTTGTTTCATCTTTTTTACAAGAACCTCTCTCTTAAGAACAAATCTTCTTTCATTATTCCAAGAAGCCAATGTAAAAAGGTCCCGTCTGATGTTAAGCTCTGTTATTCTCAGTTTACTGAATCTTGTATCTTATACCAGATGTTAGATTTCTAGAGACTTTTTGGTTAGTCTTCAACAATGTCATTAACTAAAGTAAGTCTAACATTTAATCTCTAATTCATGGGTCTGTTTAGTCTTTTTACTTCCCCCAGAACAAACCAGAGTTGTTTGCAAAGAAATCTTACTCTAATTTGACTCTTGAATCTAATGGCCATACTCTTCCTGCCAGTTATACAGATTCACCCATTGTTAAACATCCAAATCACTCTGGTTTTGAATGCTTTATAAAGTTAATTTTCAATTAAACAATTCTACAGTTTGTTCTTCAGACAAGATTTCCATTGTCTTAAAAAAGTGTTCTCCAGAACTCTCTTCAATTTTTGCCAAATTTTTAAAAGGTGCTAAATAAGTCTATCCTTTGTTTATTCTTCACTCAGTTTCTTTATATAAACGTTTTGAGTTAAACTATTTTTTTCTAACTGCAGTATTAAAGTTATTCTTGAAGACCTACACTCTTCTTTATTTTAAGTAACTATAAGGGTACCACAAAGTACCTTTTGGTACCCTTTAATCTTTACTCCAGTATTATTTCTTATCTACAATATCAATCTTGAAAATTTTACTATCTAAAGTGGCTCTATTTTTTAACGAGTCAACTTTATACTCTTGTCTGGACAAAAAATCTTCACTTTTTGATTGCTTGGAACAAGCAGCTAATTTCTAATCTAATCTCTCTTCTGTAACAGCCTAAGGCTTGCAGTGGCTTATAGATTTAAATTCTGTAGTGACGTTTTTCAGCCTTGGGGAGGTTAATTAACATTAAAAAAAAAAAAAATTATAAATTAGACCTGGTTTATCTGCCAAGCTTGAGCCACACTCATATTGCTGTAAGGTTGCATTTCTTTCTTTTTTCTACAAATACCTTCATGGTCAATGTTCAAACAACCTATCATTTCTATTACGATAAATCAAAACTCATTCTTGCTTGTTTCTCATTCATATTAATCCAGTTTTTTTCCTAGCACATCAAAAAAACCTTATAACTATTAGCCATCTTCATGTTTTTCTTTTATATACAACCTTTTTAAGTCTTCAGTTAACCATTTCCTAGTATTTTTACTTAAAAATACTAGGAAATGGTTGAACTGAATTTAAAGAAACTCATAACTTAACAGTGGTTGCTTGCAATCTTGTTGGAAGTAAATTAGAGTTTGAAAATATATAAATATATACCAGTTTTTAATAAATAGAATAATATATGTAAGCATAAAATTATAATGTATAAAGTATTAAAAAAATTTTTATAGTATAGTTTAGCTGGGGCCAGGTTTGAAAAAAATCTCATTTTTAGCCGAGACCGAGGTCCCGGTCACTTACTAGTGCCCACATTTACCTTTAGGTGCTTCTGATCACAGTTTGATCTCTCTAAAACTATATCTAATTCTTCTTCATCATCAGAATCTCCCTATCATTACTCTCTTATAAATACCTTAAAGCTGACTGGAACTCTTTCCATGATTTTTTTCCTGATAGCACTTGAGTAAATACCTTAAAGCTGACTGGAACTCTTTCCATGATTTTTTTTCTGATAGCACTTGAGCAAAAATCAAATGAGCATCTTATCATAGATGAATATTTGACTTTATGAAAATCCCAGAAAATAATTTTATTAAAAATTGATCGTATTAACTGAAAACAAAAACTTTTATAAACTTTAAAAATGGAATTTAGATTAACTTTTTACAAAAAGGAATAATATTCGAAAAAGTTAATTTGAATAAATTATAAAACAAAAAAAACAAAAAAAAAATATTGTTACGAAAATTGATCTCGTGAAAATTTTAAGAATAAAAAACATATTTGTTTAAATGCAAAAGTTGTTGTTTTTAAAATTTTATGTAAAAATATATAATTTTTTTTTTCAAATTAATAACAAAAAACATCCAAAAATTTCTGGAAAATTAAAGTAGTTTTAAGTGAACTTCCGGAATTCTGGGAAATCCTAGAAAAAACTCATCTATGTTCTTATGTAACTTCTTGGATTCAGACTGGCAATCTTTTATTCCCTTTTGGTGATTCCAAGTCAAGCCTCACTCTTCTATATGGTTTTCCTTTCATTGTGCAGCTGCAATTTCCAATTAAAACCATTACTTCCATATCTATCTATATAATATTTTCTTTTATATTTTTGACCATGCGATAAGGTATGCTTAAATCGTTATTATTATCTGTTAATATATGCTTAATCAGTTGTAACATCTATTACCTTTATATTAGATAATAATTTGATGAAATCATAAATTCAGTAGTTATAAATAAACCTATTTTTAAATAAGTAAAGTAACTTTTAAATGGAGGTAATTTTTTAATCTCATTTTAATGATAACACAATTCAAGCCCTTTGGCAATTGTATTTAAAGTATATTGATCTGCGTTTTTTATTTTTAAGAACTCTAAGAAGATGCTCTTTTCAAAGGTCAACTTTTGATAAAGTTAGTATTTATTGAGATAAATACTAACTTTATCAAAAGTTGACCTTTGAAAAGAAACCCCTTGCTTCTCAGACGATCAACTCTATGTTGCATGTTAGAGAGCAAGATCATTTAATAGCTCATTTTTTTAAATTTATAAACATTCATTACAAGGTATGCCATTTAATTGAATAATTATTACACAAATGTTGAAAATTTACCGTATTTACCGTTGAATATTAACACAAGGGTTTTAAAATAAGAATTAGATTTGTCATCCAAAGCTTTTTTTGTGATCTCCTTTCAATTTTTTTTACAGTTTTTGTGTTTAAATGATTTTATCTAAGTTGTAACTTTCTATTGAATAAAACTAAACCATGCAAACTTTGCTTACACTGCTTACACAGATAGCTTTGCTTACACTTCTCTCTGTACTCATAGTAGTGAGTACAGAGAGAAGCTTTTTGAAGCATTCACATTTTTTGAAGCACTCATAAAAACATATCTTTGTTATACCATATCTCATTTAGTTATCATTTAGTTAGCTCTGATATCTATAAAGAGTAGAACTTCAGAAAAGCAACTTATAAGGAGACACCAGCACTGACAAGGATTGCACCAATGTATAGGCCAAAAATTGCTTAAAAGAGCATATAATATAAAAAAAAAGTCAAAAGTCCTTTAGTGTAGTTGTTTATCAGAAAAGTGTTTATACATTTAGTTTACAAATTACATGCTTATGTCGCCATCACATCGATTTGAATAGTTTAGATTTTCAATTTTATGATTTTCATATTTACCTTCTCAAAACCTAGAGGGCTACCTCTCCCACAGATTCAATGGAAGGGGTATAGTTAAGAGGGTATAGTTAGGCTACTACAATCAAAGAGGCTAATCACTTTTTATTTTTTTCTTAATAATCGAGTACTACTTTAATATCCCTATAACTTATAACACAAACCATAAAAAATGCTGCTCAATGGGTTTACAGTCCTCGGAATTAGGAAAAATGAGGTCTGTAATTTTTTGCTGACCTTAAACTATTTAAAGGTCAGCTTCAGGTCAGCAAAAAAAATTGACACAAAGGTTTTACCATAAAATATATAATTGAGGTTGGCCATTTTTTGTTCACCTCAACCAATTTTAGATCTGCAGTTAGGTCGACATCACCAAACATCTGTGAACATAAGTAAAAAATTTTTTCATTTCTATCTTATAACAATTTTTGCACTTGTTATGATTTTTTTTATTAAAATTGTAACTTTTCTATGAAAATTTTGTATTTGTAAAAGGACATTTAAATGTTTTAAAAAAAGAAAAAAAAGTAAACTTTAAATGAATCTTTAAACTGCTACTCAAATATACCTTTTAATATTTTCATTATTATCATCTCTGTTTTTATATCTTGTATCAATCTTTTCAGTTACTTGGTTTGAATAAACATCTTGAATTGAACGAATAACTTGATTTGAGTGAATTACTTGGTTTGAATAAATATCTTGGCTTGAATGAGTAACTTTATTTGGAGAAGAAATGTATGGAACAGCACCTTTTGCCCAATTATCAATTTTACATGGAGATGGTTCTTAATAACAACAATTTAATTTAAAAATATTAAAAATATATATTTAAATTTATAATTAAGTAATTTTAATAAAATTCTAAAGTTATCAACATTACCCATAATCCACCGTTACGCTTTAAATATAAAGTTAAAAATAAATATAAAGTTAAAAATAAATATAAAGTTAAAAATAAATATAAAGTTAAAATTGTTCATAATTTAAATGTAAAGCTAAAATAGTTTATAATTACTTTACATACTATAAATAGTATGTAAAAGCAGTACAAACAACTTTAATATAAACTTATTAAAAAATTTTAAAAATATATACAGTCCCTGAACAAATTATTAGCCCACCTATATCAATTTTGTAGAGTTTTGACGGTTTAGTGTTTTAGATGCCCTTCAAACCAAACTGCAACATTGTTATTATTAGACTTACATGTTTTTTATAACTCAACACTGTCAGGTTTTTAAAAGTATGAATTGTTTTTAGGGTGTAAAATGTTAGGAAATATGGAATTATTTTTAGGATGACAGCAATTTCCGGAGGACAAGTGGCACCTGTTTAATTCACAAAATTCATGTCTGTAATCCATACTATTTGAATTAAGCTTTTTTTTTTAAGTATTGAAATTTAATTAATAAATATACTTTTAAACAATTTTTAAACACGTATTTCAATATTTTGTTACTTATTTTTATATAAAAACCAATTTTTAACTTCTTTAAAATAATTTTTAGTAAAAAAAGTAGCTTAAAAGTTCGAGATTAAACAAAAAAAAAAAGACAGTTCTAAAAAAAGCTGTTATTCAATATCTATTGACTAATAAGTATAAATCACTAAGTTAAATATCAAGAAAATGTGATATACCAAAACGCTGTGTAAAACGAATCCATAACAAATTGAAAAATAGCCTCCCACTATTTGTTTGGAGAAAAGGCAAATGCAGTTGAAAAAAGAAAATAACGTCTGGGAATGAGAATGCTTGTAAAAATAGTAAAAGAAAGTAAACTTGCTACATGTTCAACATTTAACAGCAAGTTAAATAAGGAGAGAATTAATGCAGAAACAATTATTGTTTGACGAAGTTTGCATGGGTTGGGAAAAGTAGAAGGCCAGCAAAAAAAAAAAAAAAAAATTAATGTCCAGAGAAAAAAATGATTTAATTTAAGAATATTTGCTTGAGTTCTTGTTATTTGAATAAATAATCTATATATTATGCGATATTATAAAATATATAATATAACAATATTGTTTTTGTTCTCAAATGTTTATCAAATACTTACACTTTGCAAATATGCAATTTAAGTTTGTTTAAATAGTTACTTAAACTAAATATTTATATATTTTCAAAAAAATGCCTCGCAAGTACATTAGAAAAACAACAAGATTCATGATATCAAAGGAGAAAGTATGTGTTGCAATTAATATGGTAATAAAATATATTAGAGATAGTGCTAAAATCAAAAACATACCTGTTATGACTATATACAACAGACTTAAAAAATATAAAGATTCCTCAAAATTAGAAGTGGTAAAAAAGGAGTATTCATTTAGTTCAAAATATACAAGAACCTGCAAATATTTACATTTCAGCAGAAAAAAACTTCTACTTGAATATCTATTTACAAGTAGCAATTTACTTTGTAAATTGTTACAATTTTCTTAACTATAAACAAGTGCGGAAATTTCCGTATGACTAAAGTTCCAATCTAGGCATTAAAATTGATAAATATGGTCAGATAATGAACTTGCTGGAGTAGACATCCATCACTAAGTTTATGCAAACCTGAAAGAACCAGTCTTTCATGAGCTACAAGCTTCAATTAGGTGGATGTATCCAAATTTTTTGTAGGTTATGAAAAAACATTAAACTCTACCTAACCATATTTTTAATATAGATGAAACAGGAGTTCCAACTGTAATGCGAACTCCTTGTTTAGTTGCTCCAAAGAGGATAAAGCAGGTTGGACAAGCTGTATCTGCAGAGCAAGGGCAAATGATGCTATTACTAGCTATGCCAGTTGTTATAGCTATGGTATAACAACTGGCAACACAATTCCACTGGTTTTCATATTTCGAGTTTTTAAATGGTGCACCAGATATTAGCTTAATATTAGCAAACCTTACTGGTTGGATAAACGGAGTTAGCTTCATTAAATTTTTAAAGCATATCCAAAACCACATTAATTGTACAAAAGATAATCCAATATTAATTTTACTAGACAATAATGAATCCCATACTACTCTTGAAACAACTATGTTTCACAGAGAGAATGGAACTGAGCTTGTAACATATCAACTACAACTTCTTGATATAGGACTATATTGTCCATTTAAAGGTAAATTAAAAATTGTTTTTAACAATTGGATGCTAAGTAATCCTGGTAAAACTATAACCATTTACATCTTGCGTATTTCAATTAACACAGCATATTTAGGAATATTTTCATTGAAAAGTATCATATTAGCATTTGTCAACACTGGTAACTTTTTGTAGATCAATTTTATTTTAATGATTTCGAGTCTGTATGTAACAGATCACCATAATCCAAAAACAATAGTTGGAATAAAAACTCCTGTTAATGCTATTACAACAGATAAAGTAGAATCATTACAATGAGGTGTACATAACATTCTAGAAACATCCAAAAAATCATCAAGTCCAGAAATGATCTGACCATTTCCTAAAGCTCTAGAGCATAAGCAAACTAACAGAGGAAGAAAATGTAGGAAGTCTAGAATATTGACAGACATTCCTAAAAAAAAAGAATTAAAAAGGAACGATTGCAAAGGCTCTTAAAGCAAAAAACATAAAAATGTATGGAAATCAAAAAGAAATTGCAGATTGATGGTTCTATTGATTGGATTGTACTATTGCAACAGTCCAATCAATAGAACCATCAATAATTTGAAAAATCCATAATTTTGTACTTAACCATTAATTTTTGCAAACATAAATTATGTTTAAATATTGCCAACACTTGGAAAAATAGCAAAAAAAATGAGTATCCAATTTTAAACTTTTTTTTTTTTTTTCAATTTATTGTCAAAACGTACCAATGCTCTCCCTCCTCCCCTATTCTGTGATAATTTTTCTTCTGTTTTCTATAGATATGCTGTAACGATGATTCCACCATAGAAGCTATGACTCAAATTGTTCAGTATGTCTAAAGAACTGCCAATCAAAAATTCCATGAAGATTGTATAATCCAGACAATTAAAGACCCTCTCAAAGTCATGTTTTGGTTGGTCATCAGTGGGAAAGGCTTTGGCCAACTGTACATTGTGGATGAAATATTGTAACAAAAAGTTATTAGACTTGTCATCTTAATTGAAGGAAAAATTTCTAAATAAGCAGAAAAAAATATTTATGCAAATTGGAGCCCCATGTCACATGGCAAAATCTGTTAAAAAAAGAGTTACTTAACAGTAAAAGAGAGAATCAAAGAATAACAAAACAGTTTATTCAAGATGTAAAAAACTGTATGAGTCAGGAAAATATAAAGAATGAAGAATATTCTAATCCATTGATATTCAAGAAGAAAAAAAAAACAGATAATACATAATATAGAATACAAAAATAGTTAAAATAGATAAATATAATTTTCTTGAACATAAATAAACAATTACAATAAAAAGGAAGCAACTTTGCTAAATTAGAAGCAAAATTGTGTTACAGTTATTGGACCAACAGATAATAGCTTGAACAGCAATAATTGTAGTGGTTGTCAAAAATATAAAAAGATATGTGACTTTATAACAATCAGACAGTGGCTCAAGCCTAGCAGTTAGTTCCAACTACATTTACAATGTATTCAACTTGTATTTGATATACTTTGGATTTTTGGACCTTGTATAGTCTCGCAAAGAGCATAGGTCTGGTGTAGGGATCATTAGAAAAACCAGCCTAAATATGATAAAGAGACTTATTAACTACACCTTAGGAACTGGGTTTAAAATTCATTTTCATTGTGGCACTAAGAAACCAATACAAAATTATAGACTTTAAAAAAAAAAAACCTGTGTCTTCATTCCATAATAAATCATTCATTAACTGTTTTGGGCTAGGAGCACTTTCAAAGAAACGCCACTAAAAAGAATGAATGAAAATTCAGTATTCATTTTAGAAAAGCAACATGTGAATTTTTAGAGCAAAAATAGCAACAAAATAATTTTTAGTTCTCTTTTTTACCTTTTTTTAAAATTTAGGGTTGACTAATAAAAGCATTGCACATTTGTCAACCTATTAACCAGCTCATGAAACTTTTAATGCTGATATAGGTCTGTACAATACTAAAATTCTGGTCTGCACAATAATAAAATATATTCTGGTCTGAACAATACTATATGTTCTGGAGACTTAAATTTTTAAAATGTCTAAAATTATTTTTTTGTCAAAAGAAAAAGTAGTTTTTTTACGGGTCTGAATTTCATATATATAACTTTAAATTACTTAAAAACAATGTTTTAAAAACTTTAGGCTACTTAACTCATATAAAAAATACTTTTTGACATATTGTTTTAATTAGATTCATAAACAGTAATGATTATCAAGACCAACAGAGTTATGAGTTTAATTATCAGAGTAAAAAATTTAAAAACTTTATTCTAGAAAGATTTATCAATCAAAACCAGTGCAACATCATTTTATTACTTTTCATCTTAGCAAAATAATAATTTAGTAATTAAAAAAAAATTGTAGGCAAAAAAATTGTGTATATATATATATTCAAAAATATTGTATAATAAAATAAACCATTTTTATTTTTTTTAAGCACCAAAAGCATTTTAAGATTATTTTAACACTTTTAAGTCTGGAAATAAAAATACTTAACAAACATTTTTAACATAGTCAATTGAAACGTTTTATTTAAGTCTCTTTGTCAACTTTTTATTTAAGTCTCTGTCAACTTCATTAAAATTATAAAACATAGCAGAGTAAGCAATTGTAGTATGCAAGTATGTACTCATGTATATTACATTATGTACTCACAAGCAACAAGATTGCAGAGTAAGCAAGTGTTGGTTACTTTGACTTCTTAAACAGAAGGGATTTTAAACTTTAGGTTTATAATAAATTACAAAAACATTTTTTTTTTTGCTAAATTAATGTGCATGTACATAAATTAATGTGTATGTGCACAAATGATTGTTTATATAACTAAATTGTGTATGTAACTAAATTACCTCAATAATATCAATAAGAGTCCATTTAAGTGCAAGGACAGCATACAATTGTGTTCTTTCTGCAATCGTTTTCTCAAAAATTATATTCAATGCACTTTGTACCACTTCATTTATTATCTGAACAACAAGCTCTTCAATATTCTCAGTTTCACACACATCTAACCTATTTAATGAACAAAAAATTGTTAAAGAGAATTAAAAATTTACATATGCAGTTCTTATAAACAAGCAAAGAGATGTTCTACATAAAACTGAAAGCAATTATATGCTGACAAAAGTTTGCTGATCTGTGATACTAGTGGGTCAATAAACAACCAATTTTGTATTTTTAAAAAAAGTCAATATTTGCATAACAATGTCAATATTTGTAAATCAAAGTCAATATTTGGTGGTTGAGCTGTTATTCTTTACCAATTTAAGTCAAAAAATATTTCTAAAATATCAAATGCAAGTTTTCATAAAAAAGTTAAACCTTTTTATCTAAAAACTATTTTCAATGAAGAGTGTAAAATAATTGTGTCAGACTCAATACTTACACACAAATAGTTAAACTTAGCATTGACATTCGCAATTAAAAACTTCGCATTGAGATTCAACAATCGCAACTAAATTTTTATCAGCACAAGTCAATGATGAACACTTTACAATAATCAATGTAAAAAATGGCTTAAGATAAAATATGAAATAATACTTATGATAATTTCTGAAAATGTATTCATAAAATTGATGAATTTTTTATAATTGCACAAAATAACATTTTGATGCAGAAGAAAACAATTTCAAGATCAACCATACTTTTTGGATGCTACTTTTAGAAGTACTCACTTGAAGAAGTACTTTCAGAAGCACTCACTTGAAAAAGTACTTTTTAGAAGTACTCACTTCTAAAAGGTTTTGCACATTTTACTTCAAAATATGATTTAAAAATTGCCGCTTAGAAAACTAGGAATTAGACATGTTTAATGTAATTAAAAGTCAACTTATAAAATAATGTTTTCCTTATTTAATTGCTCTTTATGAAATAGATTTACAAAGTATGAAAAAAGGAGTTTTATATTTTTATACAGTTTTTAAAATGTCAAAAGAATTAATTGTAACATTTTGTAAAAAATCTTTACTTTATAATTTAAAATTGACTTTTTAGTAAGGACAAATTTATAAAGTGCAACTGATGTGCCAAAGAAAATGCTTCCCTACTGAATACTTTTTATAAATTGAAATTATATATAGTGTGTAGCCAAATTATTAGGGATAGTTTACTATTTTTGAAATTTTAAAGTTCAAATGAATTTTGCGAGCAAATAAATTGTTTTTAAATCTTTTTTTTTTTGTGTATTTTAGTTACTGATATTATGATTATTGTTTTAAAATTGTTTAAATTTAAAAACACTTTTAGTTAATTTTTCAGTCAAAAAGTAAGTTAATCATTTAGCAGTCAATTGTTAATTTATCAGTCAAAAAGTAAGGTTATTAATCATTCAAAAAGGTTATTAATCATTTATCAGTCAATTAGTAAAAAGTGTTATGAGTCAAAAAAGAGTTCAGTTGTTCATTTTTTGTTCATTTGTTCATTTTCTGTTTTTCGAGTTCAGGACTGTCAAAACACGAATTGATTAATAATTTAATTAGATATAGTTAATAAAATATTTTTGCTAATTTTAATGCATAAAATTCAATTTGTAATCATTCTAACCTCTTGTTTTTTTTAGTATGGACAAGTTTTCAAACTTGAAAATTAAGGAAGTAAAAACATTACTTTTAATAAAAGGTGCAGCTCACATAACTACAATAATAAACAAGGAAGGACTTAATGAACTCTAAAAAGACTGTCCTGAGGTGGTTTGCTGAAGAAAATATGGGTCATCGTCCAATCAAAAAGCAATATCTGACTGAAATGATGAAAAAAAGCGACTGAAATGAGCTGGAAAACACCACAATATGACTATTGAAGACTGGAATAGAGTAAATATAATTTATGATGATTGAAAAAAATTAAAATATCTTTACAATTTTAAATTTGGTATCTTTATAATTTAAAATTTCTTTAAAATTTTGGTAATACTTTACAGGTCTGGTTCTTGGACAAATCAACATTTCAAATTTTGGTGGACAAAAATTAATTTGTCCAGGACAACCTATTGAAAAAGGTTAAATATCCTGTGAATGTAATGTGTGGTCTGTGATCTCAGTCAAGGTTTGGGTTATCTCTACATCATAGAAGAAACTGAAAAACAGGCTACTACTCCATGTTCATGAATCAAGCTTGGCTATGAAGCAGGTGCAATTGCACTTTAATCCTGACCATGCATATGCATGGTCATGCATATAATACTCCCAAAATATAAAGTTTTAACATGCTTAACTTTAATTAACTTTGTAACATTAATCTTTTGTTATCAAACAATTTACTTTTATTGATTGTTTACAAAACAAAAATTAAAATTTTTTTTTTAATTATAAAGTTAAGAAAGTTTTATTATACTATATACAATTTAGCAAATTATATGAATATAAATAAAATAAAAAAATTAAAGTTTTAAAACAATTTCTACAATTGATTTTATATGAACAATATTTTCAACAACAATTGTTTTTTTAATGAAAATTAATTATTATTCATTAAAGTTAATAAAACTAATAATCAAATAAACTTGCAGGTGACTGAACACGAAGATAAATATACACATAGTGAATTACGAGTAGATGAAAACCGCGCCAAGGGTTTAATAAAACACAAACATACATATATATAAAGTGATATACGGTTGAACCAACACCACGCCAGAAGATCATATAGAACACAAACATACAAATATATAGAATGAATTGCAGATAAACCAACGCCTTGTCAGAGGTCCACATAGAACACAAACATTAAAAATTTAAAAGCCCAATCACTAAACATCATTAGTAGTAAGTGACCGGGGCCCTGGCCTTGGCTAAAATTGAGATTTTGCAAACCTGGCCCTAGCAAATTTATAGGATTTAGCAGGGGTTGATAGCTGGGGCTAGAAAAAAAATTTAAAATACTTAATATAGTATAATTTTATCCTTACATTTACTATTTATTAAATACTGGCATACATTTATATATTTTTAAACTTTAATTTACTTCCAACAAGATTGCAAGCAATTACTATTAAGTTATGAGTTACTTTAAAATAGAGAATAATTTAAAATACTGGGAAACATATAATTGAAGATTTAAAAAGTTGTAAGTTGTATAAAAAAAAAGAAAAACATGAAGATGGGTAAGAGTTATAAGGTTTTTTTGATGTTCAAGGAAAGAAACTGGATTAATAAAAGTTTTTATAAGATGAAGGACAGATACAGTAAAAAGTGCAACTTGGTGAATAAAAAGTCAAGCAAGAATAAGTTTTGGTTTATTTGAGCATTGGTTTATTTGGTTTATTTGAGCATTGACTATGATTGTATTAGTAGAAAAAAGAAAGAAATGCAACCTGACAATGGTAGAGCGGGTCAAGCTTAGCAGATAAAGCAGATCTAATTATATTTACAATGTGCTTTTAGACTTTGTCTGAGAGTAAGAGGGTTGCTTTTTGTCAATATAGGAATCCCAACAATAATGCAATATTTTTTTGCTAAAAATAAATGAGCTTTGTTGTCTTACAAAAATTGTTGATTTCAAATCTAGAATTTAAATCCATAAGCCGCTGTAAGCCTTAGGTTGTTACAGAAGAGAGATCAGATTTAAAATTGGCCGCTTGTTTTAAGCAATTAAAAAGTGAAGATTTTTTTGTCAAAACAAAAGTATAAAAATGAGTCATCAGCAAATAGAGTCACTTCAGATTTCATGAAGATCGATATTGTAGATAAGAAACACCAGCAAAGATAGAGCCTTGCAAAATAAAGAAGAGGGTAGGCATTCAAGAATAACTTTAATACTTCAGTTAGAAAGAAATAATTTAATAACCTCAAAACCTTTATATAAAGAAACTAATAACAAAGTGAAGACTAATCGTAGGATAGTTGGAGAGGTCAAAGTGCTTTCTAGACTTTGAAAATTGGAATCCCTTTTTTTGCACTTTTTAAAAGTTTAGCAAAAATTGAAGAAAGATGTTCTCGTAAAAAAGATTTTAAAAAAATTATTAATGCTTAATAAAGCAACTGCTCAAGATGGTGAAAAATGTGAATTAGAATGAGGCTTGACGTTAAATTGAAGAAAAGTAATAAAAACTTCCAAACTTTTATTCCAGAAGGAATAAAAGCTTTTAAGATTTAATATTTAACATCCATAATATGTATGCACTTTATGTATACATAATATGGATATAAACATATATGTTTGCTATTTATTTAGATGCTGGCATACAATATCCTTTCATTGTTATATAAACTTTAGTATTTATATGGAACAGCTGAAATTTATATGGGTTAGCCGAATATTTATATGGATTTGCCTAAAGAGAAGATCAGATGAATGTGTGGTGTCTAGCAAGACAAAAAAAAAGGCATCGTCTTAGACAGATTTGAAAAAACATTTTTTTTTTTTATTATTATTATTATTATAGTTGTAGCCGTAAATTTACATAGAATGTACACATACAGCGAGCAGGGAAAACACCCCACTATAAACAACCAGTTTTATAAATATTTGTTCCAAACTTATTCCACAACCAGGAGTCTAGTCTATTGTTTTATTTTTTAATCTTTTTAGCCTTTCGCAGTATTGAAGATGCCTCAAGCTGTAAGCCCATTTTGTTGCTTTGCGTTGAACAGATTCAGCTTTTAAATAAGGAGCACAAATGGACACTCCATATTCAAGATGTGGTCTTATAAATACTTTATATAATTTGAGAGCCATTTTTTCATCAATGAAAGTGAATGTCTTTTTCAGTATACCAAGAATTTGTAAGGACTTAGAGTGTTTAACCACTCGTATACCAAGCGTAGACAATCCTGCAGATCAACAAAATTAGATTGCGATAAGGTTTTAGAAAAAAGTTTAGTATCATCAGCATTGCATCAAACAACGTTTGTTAGAAAAAATTAAAGTAATTTAGGTATAAGCATGTAGAGAGGTAGCAGCTTCAGTAAAAAATGGTAACGGTTGAATTAAGAAAACTTGAAGAGAGTGCCTTACATATTATATAAATTAGCTTTAGTTAAGAAAAAAAAATGCTCTAGATTGTTTAAAGAAACAGCATAAAAGAGGAAGGCAAAGCCTGATGATGATGATGATGATGATGATGATGATGATGATGATGATGATGATGATGATGATAATGATGATGATGATGATGATGATGATGATGATGATGATGATGATGATGATGATGATGATGATGATGATGATGATGATAATGATGGTGATGGTGATGATGTTGATGTTGATCATGATCATGATAATCATGGCCATCATCATCAGGCTTTCTTTATTTTATGCTGTTGATGATGATGATGGTGATCATAATCATTATAATAATGATAATTAGGATAATCATGCTGATCATAATGGTGTTTATATATGCATATATATACAAAATTTAACATGAATTTTGAATTAAAAAAATATACTTTAGGATGTATAAATGTTTATGCAACCATGATCACAAACCCAGTCACGACTATGTTTTATCAAACCCGGCCCAGCCCCGGTCAAATATCAACCCTGGTCACTTACTAATCATTAGCACTATTATGAAGCAGTTCTGCTCTCTTTATAAATTCTTTTTACCTTTTTAATTTAACCATAAAAGCTTGCTTTCAAATAAATTGATTCAAAAAAATTCTTTTAGTTTGCAAAATACAAAATAAAATTATAATTCACTTAGAATGTGGAATGCCCTTTATACATTAATTTATAATATATTATAGTATAATAAACCGTTGGACTCAAGTTAAATATAAAGTTATTAAATGTATATTTAGTCTGCAGATTGGATCAGCATCTATAATGATCAGTTCATATAGATGTAAATATAGACTTTTATTTAAGTAAATATAGACTTTTTATTTAAAAATATAGACTTCTTATTTAAGTTAAGTTTTTTTGGTAATTGTTGTGTGTTACATCATTTCAAGCTGGAAAAAATGTGCACAATTTATCTTGGCTGGGTACTTCACTTAGCATGAACTCCATAGAAAATCTATGGGAGTTTACAAAACAAGAATAAGCTAAATAAAAAAACATCACTACCAAGTGGCAACTGATAGAAACTCTTATTAAAGAGTGAGATAACAACCCCAGTCTTCACAATTCAAAAGTATGCATAGAATGCATGCCCTAAATGCCTGAAAGTCTTTATTGTAGCAAAGGGTAGCATAACAAAATTATAAGGTTAACCATCTAACAATAAAAACAATAAAAAATAATTACTGTTTTTGTATACAAAAAATTTGTCATTTAATATTTCTTTATTGTTAATTTAATTATAAATTAAATTTATAGTTAAATAAAAAAATGACAAAAAAAAATTTGCATTTAAACAAACCAATCTGTGATTGTAAATTTTCCTGGAATGATTGAATTTTGCTGAGTGATAGTAGGAGAGTTTTGATTCACAGTGTTTGGTGTTTTACCCCTTGATGGTTTCATTATTGAACTGAAAAAATAAAATTTTAAAAAAATTAGTAAAGATAGTTACATATAATATAAATTATGCATTATATTATTCTAAAATTATTAAATAAAAACATTAAACACATGTGTGTAAATTCTTTGCCAGAAGGCAAAGTTTTGAAAATAGAATCATAAATAATTATTAAAAAAACCTAAAAAAACTCATTGAGGACTTTTTGAAAATATATTTTTTTTGGTTATAGAAACATTAAAATTGTTAATATTAAACTAAATATGTGGACTGTGTTTAAATTTCCATATTTCGGCATTTGTGACAAATTAGTGTTTTTTTGATAAATGTTCAGTTAAATTTATTTTCAGATGACAGCTGATTCCAAAATTAATTTTGGAATCTGGTTCCTGCTGTATATTGAAAAAAAAAATTAGTAATTAAAAACAATTACTTGATCAAATTTGGATTTAAAATAACATTAGTATAATAAAATTATAAGAGTTCTGATGGTTTGATATTGCATATACATGTTATTGCACATATGCATATATTTGAAGATAAAAAGTAAAAACAATAAAAATGTTAGTGACTTCATAACTAATCATAAATAAGGTTTTCAAAAATATCAAAATATCTCTTTGATTTTAAAAAAATATGGTAATGAGATCTGCTTGTATGCTCATTTGAAAATCTTGGCATAACTTTGGAGGATGGGAATAGATAATTCGGTTTAAAACACCAGAATCAGATTTCTCTAAAAGACAACTTATCACATCTGTAGACTGTTCTAAATGCAATGTCTTACATGAAAGAAGCTTTAAATAGTTTCTTATATCTTTATTGTTTGCTTCTAGACCTTCCTCAGATAAATTCCTAAGACAATAACCATCATTAAGAATAATTAATTCAACTGAGTGATGAAGGATTGAATGAAGAGTAAGGTTAATTTGTGCCCATGTCATATTTGTAATGTTAAGTGTGGCATTATACATAAATCTTGAAAATTATATATCAATGCCATACTAGTTTCAGGAAAATAAAACCATAATGAAACATATTTTATTTGCTTTCAAATATATCTTTTGATATCATTGATGCTTGTTGCCCTGCTCCATCACAGCCATCTTTAAAACACATTTGATACTCATCAACATCTGTTGGAATAAAAGAACCTTTAATTATATTTAAAACAGAATCAAAAATTTTAGTGATGTATTTTACACTTTTATTTTACTCCATTAAATTAACTTTTTAATTTGCTTATGCTGAAACAAAAACAAAGTAAAATAAGTAAAAGTTAAGCAGTTTTAATTTTTTAAATCATGTAAATAAGAAAAAAAGTGCTAACTTGCCTCGGTTCCCCCTATATTTTAAAATAAGAAATATCAAATATTTTTATAATATAAGCCACATTCAAGACAAGTTAGTATTTTTGACAAAACTTAAAATTTAATCTGGTTTTTTGTTTAAAAAAAAAAATAATACAAATTTACAATAAAATTACTAAGTTATGTTCAAAAAAACTAAAGAAAAAATGAACTTAAAACAAACTAGACATTTTTAATTAGTTTATTCAAAAATATATTCCATATCAAACAAAAAAAACTTTTTTATTAGCTGTTTACTAATTTTCATGTTTGTAAAATCATACCAATATACTAAACACATTATGTTTCTAATTTCTAAGTGGCGATACGTAATTTTGAAATTTTTAAATTTCAAAATTTTTTATTTTATGTAAAAATGTGAATGTGTGTGTTTTCAATCTTTTTTTATTAATATTTTATTTTTTATTCTCTCTTTTGTTCAGAAACAATTTTTTAGTTTTTTGTAAAAAATACCTCCATTAGTTTTGTTCTATTTAACTTGTTCAATATAAATCCCTATTGCCAGGTATAGGAAATTAAAATTTGGGTATTTAGCTTTATTTGCCAAAGGCATGCACCCATTTGATGACAAATCAAAAATTTTTTCATTTACAAAATAAATTACTTTAAATTAATAACTTTATTAACTTAATATTAAAATAAACTAATAATACCTGGGCATCATAAACTTTTAATGAAATACATGATACCAGGACAAGAATTTGATTGCCTCTTATTGCTTGGTTAACTCTTATGTACTATGAGATAAATGTAAACAGACGAATATCTAATAAGACAGACCATGCATTCATGTGACCAAAAAGAATAATAAATTTAAAATATTATTTACTCTCTTAATTTAAAAGCCAGAGGTCTAGTTGTGAGGAAATGAAAATAAAAATGCAAAATCTGTGGTCAATTTGTGAGTGACTTGAATTACATTTTTTTATATAAATGCATTTAACTGTATTATAAATACAATAATAAACAACATTGTTTAATGCATAGGGTTAAGTGTAAATAAGTGTACATATAATAATAATACCATAGTAGTAGTATTATAATAAACTGTTTAGTTTGTTCAGCTCAAATCAGAGCATTTGCAAAAGATATTTGCAAGATGAAATGATAATAAGAAAGGCCTCTTAAACAATAAACGATAATAAGAAAGGCCTCTTAAACAATACGATGAGCATGCACATTTTGTTTGGTTATTTAGATAACTAAAATTCAAAATTAGTTTTATTAAACCTTAGGTATCCTATATTGCTAATCAATTATTATCAGTTTAAATAACTAACTTTTGTTATCACGCATTTGTAAGATCAAAATCATTTAATAAATGTGTTCAAGTTGAAAAATTGTAATAAGAAATTTACAAAAAAATAGGGTTAAAAAAGACAACATACAAATAAAATGTTTAAAGAATAACTAAATCTAACAAAAAAAAAGTTTTTTCATTCAAATGTTTTGAAATTTTTAAACTTTTAAAATATTACTTATATAACTTTTATTGTGATGATGAAAGTTATAATTATTAAATCATTTTTACTTTTTCTTTATGTTTTAGTGATTATCTAACAGTCAGATTATAGTCATTTTATTATATTTTATTAGTTTTGAACTGTTTGAATTTTTTAATATCTATGTGGATTATCACATATTCAATTATCAGAAACCAAATTTTCAAAATCTTTTCAAGATTTTGCATACTTGTTCTATTATACGTATATTATTACTCCTAAATGTTTTCTTTAAAACCACCATTAAGATTTACCCTGATCTTTTATAAACAGCGAACAAACACTTTTTTCAAAGGATTTGAGGTTAGATACTGATATGATACGAACCAAAATTTTCACTTAAATTTAAAAACTACGATTAATAAATAAAAATTATGCATACATTAAAGTAAAAACTAGATGCAAAAGAATTTAGTTTTTTTTTTAAATCTAATAATCATAAACATAATTATAATATGCATAATAAAATAAACACGATATGTTTATTTTGCATTTATTTTTGTGCAACGACACACATGATCACTAAGGTTTGGTTGTCATACACCGCATAAATAAACCTCGATTAACCAGTTTAGATTTAAAACGACTATTTGTCCGACCAGACCAGATCCAATTAGCAAAACCATTTCGTCCAACCAAAAAATATTCTTTCTTCCTTATGTTTGTTAACACTTGGAATAACTTGCCGTCTGACGTCGTTAACGCCAAAAACATCAAGAGCTTTAAATTTAAAACCAGTTTTATTCAAACATTATTTTCCACAAAAGACACTTCAGTGATTCAAAATGAGAAATTAAAAGCTTTGACAAGCAGGGTCTTTGAGAGGGAGGGGCAAAGGGGGCAAACTGACCCGGGCGCCAAGCTAAAAGATTCGCATCGTGACCCATTGGTTTTTGTCTTGTTTTTTTTTTTTACAATAAATTGAAAACATTTTAATGACTTAATATGTGAAAGTTTTTATATTTGAGGTTGAAACTTTAGTAGTCTAAATCGTTATTGGAAATGTCAAAACTTCAATTCCATATATTGGTAAAACTTGCTTTAGTGAGACTTTTAGTTTTAGGTTAGGATTAGTGTTGATGTTGATTAAAGAAGTATTTGGTTAAATAAATTGGTTGATAAATGATAAATACTTTGTTTTATAATTGGTAGTTAAAGGTTAAATTAGTTGGATGATATTTTAAAAAAGAGTTTTTAAGTTTTTTATAAATTTATATATATATATATATATATATATATATATATATATATATATATATATATATTTATATATATATATATATATATATATATATATATATATATATATATATATATATATATATATTTATATATATATATATATATATATATATATATATATATATATATATATATATATATATATATATATATATATATATATATATATATAATTTAAAAAAGATTTTTTAAGTTTTTTATAAATTTATATATATATATATATATATATATATATATATATATATATATTGGTAAGCTACAGATATATATAGATATATAATTATATCTGTAGCTTAGAAGCATGAGATTGATAGTTCAAAAATCTCTGGCTTCGAACCCATCTTTGGTTTTGAAGCAATCTAAGTTTTTTTTATTTTCTAGGGGCAAGGAAAAATAAAATTCTTGGAGCATCTAAAAAAATTTTAAAAATATTATTACACTTTTTCTTTTAAATTGTTATATTTGAGGTTGCCAAGTTAGGGAAAACAAAACAAACAAAAAAAGTATATAAAATATTTCGTTTACATTGGAATGTCTCTTGGGAATTAATGTAACGGTCTATTGTGGACGTATTTTCATGTATTGAATAGACCAAATTCACTAGAAATAAAAATAATTGAAACAATATCTTCAACAATAATAAGGCATAAGAATGGTTTTTAGACAAAAGAAAATACACAAGAAGAAATGACTGTTGCAAACACTCAGAAACGCAAATAAAATACAACTAACTTTATGTAATTACCAATTTATGTTAAAACTTTTGTTTTAAGTACAACTTTTAATCTGTATAGAATTAATACAGATTGGAAGTTTTACATTAATAACATTTGTAATAAATGTGGAATATGATATCAAAACCTTTGTTTATAAACTAATTATAAATTACAAAACATTTTAGGTGTTTCTAAAAAGTGGGTCAAAAGAAATTTTTAAATGCTCAAAACCATGCTAAAGCTATTTAAAAGGCAACAGTAGAAGCAAAAACATTGAGGACATCGGATTTATAACCATGACGCTGACAAAAAAAAGGTCTTTTTCTCCGTACACTGAATTAAGCTCTCCAGTAATTTAACTTTTTATTATGTCATACTTTTTTTCTTCTAACAACCTCTGGTATTATAATCTTTCTTGATATTACTAACTTTTTTTGTTAAGGACCCCTAAAATAATGACCGCGACTCCCAGTCAGCCTATGAGGGCCTAGATGAACCAATGAGCTCTCCGTTTCTTTCAAGATCACATGCTGCACTGTAATGTGTGATTTGAAAGACTGTTAATCAGTGAGGGCACCAAATAATTTACCTGAATCCAAGCTAAATGAATTTCAAAATGACTCATCAGAGTCAGAAGTAGGAACTTTATCCATCAGGGAAGAATGTGATGCTCAATCTGACTTTATCTTTGTCTTCTAAATTGAAATTAGAACGAAATTTTTTGGTTTGGAGCTCGGCCAGCATAATACAAAATCAGTATTCAAAAGCTGGCAATTGTATCTTATTGGAACGGAGAAGCTAGGAACCAATGATAAAACTTATAGATTGTGTGAAACAGCATCAATCCAGCCCAATGCACCAAAAGTTCTACGTGAATTGCAAAGAGGAACAAATTTTTCTTACTAACTCCACTGGTATATTTACAGAATTTCAGAAGAAAATTAATTCTGTGACAGCTAAATGGAGAAAATTCTTCGTGGAATATTAGATATTGATCTTTCTTGGCTTCTAGGAACCTAGCTTTCTTACGTAACTTTAAATAATTAAAGAAAATTTTTAATTATTTATATAGTTATTGTAATAATTAAATTATAACTATGTAAAATGGGCCTGGCTCACGTTACTAATCTTTTGATTATTTTAATTTGGCTTAAAAGGTAAGCTACGACAATGTCATCGGTATTTGGGCGGCCAGAAAAGCTCGAAAAATTTGTTTTTATGCGCCTAATTTACCTTCCTTGAAGATTTTGTTGATTGATTTTTCGTTTATTGGTTTTAAAACCAATACTTTGATTCATATGTTAGTTTTGATTAAAAAACCAATTCTTAATCCAGAGAAATAATAGTAACGCAGAAATACAATGAGCTGTATCAGAAATAGATAACTACTGTGTTCACTCAACTTTAAATTTTTTAATAGTTTGAAATAGGGGCGCTGTTCCTCAGTTTGACCCGGGCACCATTGGCGCTCTCGAAGGCCCTGTTTTTAAATATTCCCTAAAAGACCCTATTTTCAATATTCAATAAGAATATTGAAAATTTACAATTTTCAATATTCTTATTGAATATTGAAAATTGTAAATTTAGTATTTAAAAAGTTTTTAAATACTAAATTTACAATTTTCAATATTCAATAAGAATATTATTGAATATAAAACTACTCAAAACTTCCTTCATTTTCTTCATTAGCAGCTACTCCTTCTCTTTCTTCAACACCTTCTTTTTCGAAGACACATTGCGTATCTTACATCTGAAGATGATGCCTCAGAGCAGTGATATAATACGGCTCTAATAGTTTTTTTTTAGTTCATTAACTGATATCCAATAAAAATTGCAATTCCAAAATAATTTTGTAACTTGTTAGTTTTATTGTCTGTAAGACAACCAAAAACCACCTTATTTTTTTAACATTATAAGCTTTCATTAATTAGTTTAAAATTCACTGAACTTAGATTTATATTAAAAACATTTTTAGAAGTTTTATTTGAAACTTTTTTACTGGAATTTGTATAATAATATCAACAAAAGCATAGTTGGACTCATTTTGATTACTGTGAGATTGTAGAATAGCTTCATCATCGACAATAAAATTGTTGGTTATTTAATATTTTTAATTTATTAATTTAGTTTCTTTAATTTTATTTGAAGTTTTTTAACTTAACAAAATGCAAACTTATGCTCAGTCGCAAGAATTTGACATGAATAAGAATCTTTTTCTATTTTTACAATTATACACATAACTCTAAGTTGAGAAAACTGAGATATAAAGACTCTTTTCTACCAAACGAAGGCAGTATGCTAAACAGTGTGATGACTTTATTATAAATTTAAACAAAGTAAACGCGTTTGCTACTTATTTTCTCATTTGTAGTTACTCTCGAGTTTTTAATTAAAAAAAAAAAGGTGGGGGAGGGGGGAGTTCGAAAGGGTGGAAGAGAAAACTTTAGCACGTTATAAAACAGCTGTTTTTTTCATAATTTCAATCGGATTTAATATGCTGATATAATTTTTATTCTTTGGTGAGAAGTAAACCAAAAGCTTTCGACAAATCAAGATTTACTCGGTCGATGATTTTTAAAGCCTATTTACACTAAAAATTTTTGTTTTTATCACTCACTGAAACAATTATTTTCTAATTTTTAAGGCTGATTTTCACTGAATTTTATTTGGTTTAGTTTAGGTCTTAATAAACTTAATGTGAGTGGGAAAGTTTTCTAAAAAATGTTCAACGTAACACCTTTCTCCCCCCTCCCCACCCACACACACCCTTCTCCTTTGCATTAAGAACTCAAGAGTTAGTTTTTAATTTGTTTGCTTAATGCCTTTTTATTACCAGAAGTCAGCTGCACAATTGCTTATTTGTAAAGTAATCACCTTCTAACAACAAAATTCATGCGTCATAACAAATATTCTCATGCGTCATTACGAAAAATTCTCATGCGTCATAACAAAATATTTTTAGTTTCTTTAACTCGGCAGTTGAGGCGATTTATAAATTATTCGAATTCTTTTATTTTAAATTAGCATAATTTTGTCAGCGTATTATGTCCAAACAAGAGCTTCAGATGCTATATTTTTTATGCCTCAACTTTTTAAAATATTTAAAGAAACATTTTTCTCTCTTTTATAATTTTATTTCAAAACATTTTTATTACCCTTAATTGTGAATCTAAAGAACACCATTTTTGAGTCTTTTAATCCATTTTGCTCCACACCGTTAACTTAATTTTAATTAAAAGTTTCTAACCTATATCTAATCATAGCTCTAATTTGTTCTAGCACATATTTATTGAATATAATTGTCAAAGCACAATATTTTTATCAACTAAGAAAGAGCTTTTAATTAGGAAAAATTGCCAATAAACAATCAGAACAGATCATATTATAAAACTATGATGTTCATTTCACCTAAATAACGTATTTATGTAAAATCTTATTCAAATTCGGACGAGCTTTTTTTGGAGGGCTTTTTTGCTACAAACATTTTAATTTTATCTTCCGGCAAAATGTATCATTTTAATTTTATATTCCGGCAAATCATTTTAATTTTTTCGTCTTTTCACAGACCTAATGATTTTATGGAAGTATGTCAGTAAAATATCATACAGACACTATAATATTGCTTTAACAATACAAAATAAAAAACTTAATTTTAATGCTAAACAAGAATTGTTTAAATTTCTAAAAAATTGTATGGATGCTCCTAAAACTAAGGATGGTAATGCATTCGATTCGATGTCTGCTGTAGTATTTAAAATATTGGAAATATAATAATAGCATTTGTATTTTTAATTCTCTCTTTATTATAAAATTATTATCAAGATCTGACGTATTTTCTAACGGAATATTTTTGTTTGTTTATGTCATTATTATTAAAATCTCGTTATGTATAAAATTTAGATGATTATTATTTAAGTTCATTTACGTCATTAATATATATCAATAATATAAAACGACGCTATCAAATTAATCCTAGATAATAGATTAGTTTCCATTTTAAAAGTATAAAATCAACAAATATAAAAAACAAAAATATTTACTATTCCATCGGAATTCACTCAAAAATGATTAGCTTATCATCTCTTTATAATAATGCTGAGTAGTGTTGTTAGTGCCCACTCCAAAAGATATAATGTTGAATATACCACGCTCTCTTTCGTTTTTCTATCGTTTAATTGTTTTAGCAGAGTAATCTTTAATTATGTATTTTTTTTTCCTTTTAATTTTGAAGCGTTTTTAAAAATAGTGGCTTTATTTTTATAAATAAAGCCCGTATAATAATGTTGTCCAATAATAACAGGTGTCCTTATTATTACAATTATTATTATTTTTGAGTCTCTGATTCTATTACTATAGACCCGTTCGATTTATATATCTTTTAGTTCACGTGTATTTTTTAACAGTTTTTTTACTTTTTGTTCACTCTTATTTCAATGTTTGTTTTCCTTTGAGCGATCTTGTCTCAGGTTCCTCCTTTACCGGTCTTCCAATTTCTTAAACTTTTTATTTTTACAATTTTTTTTTCCTTGCTATTAATTTCCTTTGTTTTAAGACTGTACGTAAGAGCGGAAAGTGGCGGTGATCAACGATTTATTATTAATTACTAATCTATCAATTGTGCTGATAATTTTTGTATACACCGAGAAAATACAAGACAAAAACCAATACTTCAGGTTTTCAAGACTAAGACTAAAACAGTTGAATGTCTAGAGACGTCTTGAAACCTACATCTCAGCAAAAAACATATTCAAAGATAATCCTAAAAAAATGTTGATATTGCGATGCATCCATGCATAATTTTTACGCGAGCATGTCAAAAAATGTTACTTAAATAAAAAAACATTTTCCTAGTCAAAAAGTTCTATGAGATCCTATAAGAAGTTGGAACAAAAAAATACCAGATTTAAACCAAATTAAATTAAAACACGTTAAAAAGTTATCAAAGTATTGTCTCTTTTTGTTCCAAAATCCAATATAGTACTATAGGAATTTTTGGCTAGGGTTGCGCAAAGATTGGCAAACTTTATTATTTAATCATGGCAGTATCGTCAAAAATGAAAAAAAAAAGCTTTCTGAGTATACCGGAGTTACCAACGAGAAAAGATCTTCTTAGATATGTAATCTGTTTTTAAAAGAAATAAACAATAAAAAGTATCGTCCAATTAAATACTTAATAAAAAAGACAACTCAAAGTTGATCGATAATTGGACCTACGCCAATGTATCATTTGTCTATTCTGTAACTCATATTGAATATTATACCATGAAGGTTCGTCCCTGCTACAATAAAAAGGAGCATTTTACAGCATGTCCAAACTCCAGTAATATTGATTTTTTTGTGAGTGATCGACGCTGGCTAGTCGTAGCGCAATTCTATGATATCGGATTATAATCAACAGCATATATTTTCAAAAATGAATCACGTCACTTTTTATATTTTTATTTGTACGTGACCTTTATTAATACTTCAAAAGAATGAACGCGATTTTAGTCATTAATAAACATTTAATCCATTTGTGCTACAGGAAAGATTCTTTAGAATAAAATTCATCACCATAATATTTCATAAAAATTGCACCATAAAAATTCATCACCATAATACATACATATATATTTAAAGAAAATATGGAACTAAACATTATTTAGGACAGAATGTTTATAGAAACGAATTAACCAATTAACATAAATTTACCAATTTATGTTAATTGGTTACCAATTAAACTAAATGTTAGAACCAATTAAACTAAATGTTAGAATTTAATTCACAAAAACTTTATTTTTGTCAAACTTCTTTTTTGGCCTGCAACTAATCTTTTTTTTTATTTAAAATAAATATATATATAGTGTAATAGTAAATAGTACTGCTTTATTCTAGTAATTACAAGAATTTCCTTAATTCTTATAATTTCCTTGTTTTAAAATATATTATCAACAGCACTTTAAAAATTATCTCAATTTAGATATAAATATTAACACCCCCCCCCCAAAAAAAAAAACAAAAAAACAAAAAAACAAAAAAAACAATAAGTATTATATTTAAAGAATGTTTTAGAAAAAAATGTACATAGATAGTTATTAATATATTTACATTATGACTAAAAATTTCCACACAAAGAACCGAACCAAGACAATTAACATAAGAACGTCAACTATAAACATTGAATAAACAATAGATTATAAAAAACAATATTTAAATGTTTTTGAAAATACATAAGACAGACAATATAGAAAACTGTACAAAATATTCGAATTATTTATCAATATACATAGTATTTTTTTTAATTACAAAAGAAAAACAAAAAAACTAAAACGACAACACAGTCGAATTATTTTCAAAAATCCTCCCAAAAATATATTGGACACAAACATAATTATGTCATTAAAAAAAAAAAGAAATTGTTTTAAGAAAAATTAATTTAAAACTAGTCAATTGTCAAAACATCTGCGTGATCTCTGTTAATTCTCTAAATAACTCACATAATTGTGTCGTTTTTATTTAGTTTAAACTCATCCTAAATGACTATGATGGTATTCGATACATATTGAATACCTTATGAAAGCATGCATCTAGAAACTGTGAAGTAAAGACTACACAGGTTTAACATAGTTACCGGGAAATATTCCAAATGAACCAGTACGTTCAGATGTACCAATAAACCAGCCATCATCGCATTTTTCAAGAACGTAAACTATGTCACCGACAGCAAGATCTACTTCATCATCATTAGAGGGTTTATAAGAGAATACACAACGATACCTGTAAACAAATTTTTTAAAAGGTACAGTTAAAAGCAACATTAAAACAAATTCATAAACTTTGTCACATATATAAATACATATATAATAATGCTGTACATAAACTGTGTCATATATAAAAATATATCATTGACTTACGGTTCTCCTTTTCCTATTAAATTGTCAATATCATTTTCATGATTACCATTTGTATATATAGTTGAATTTACAAAACCGTTCGTGTATGGTATGGATTCTTCAATTTTTTCATTTTTTTTTAAACCTTCAGAATATTGCATTTTAGTATTGGGTACTGCACTATCTGAACTTTTAGAAAGTTTAGGCTCATTCAATGTTTCAAATCTATAAGATAAAAATTTATCCCCAGGAACAAATCCACTTAAAAAAAATATATCTAAAATAATAAAAAATTTTTTGTTCTTACTTTTTGTCTAGTTTTGTAGTTTGTTCCACTTGTTTAACAGGTTTTTGTTCCACTTGTTTTTGTTCAACAGGTTTTTGTTCCACTTGTTTTTGTTCAACAACAGGTTTTTGTTCCACTTGTTTAACAGACTTTTTTTCTTCCTGTTTATTGGGTTTTTCTTCTACATAAAGAATAGGATGAGCTAAGAAAAATTAAAAAAAACTTAAACAAAATTTAAGCTGGATTACAGTATACTATAAAAAAATACTGTATAATACTACAGTATTATATAGGATTATACAGACTATAAGTGTGAGTAGAGGGTTCTTTCCGGGGATTTCCGGGAATTTTTTTATGTTTCACATTTCCCATTAAACGAAAAAATTATCGTAATTTCACAGTTAAAATAAAAATCAAATCATTATTAAAAACCTTTCTTAGCTTCGGTCACGTGTCATTTTTGGCGTAGTCACATTTACTAACAAATGTTATGACCAAAATAGCGGGTCACGGACTCGCTTGTAAAACGTGGTTCAAAGCAAACATACAAAATCATTATTTAAAATACCAAAAATTACTCTTTAAAATTTATAAACAAATTTATTATTCCAGAAATAATGTTCGTTATTTTGATTATTTAGAAAATGAGTTTTACAGTGACAACCCTAGTGAATCTGAAACTAAAAGTGATAATCAAAACAATTTTGAGCCCCAAATATGTAAAAGAGATGATATAAATGCTTTACTTGCTCTGTCTTTGTAAACTAAGTATTTTACAATTTTTTTTATGTTTAAATAAGAAACAAAATCTTAAAAACAAAAAAACAAAAAAAAAAAAAAACACTGAAAATAAATAAGTATACCAGTCTCCACCAAAGGTTCTTTTATTACCTAAAAAAAACATAAAAATACTTCAATAAAGACAGAAAACTTTTTGTTTATTATTGGGACAGTAAACAATTAAAAAAAAAAAAAACAGCAGGATAATATCAAAGTGCTTGCACAATATTTAAAATGACGTAGATTTTTAATTGAATTTTTTTTTTAACAAAAATTTAATTTTAATACATTTAAAAAAAAAATAGTGGTAATGAATTATAATTAAAAAGTCTTACTTCAACATAGTTAACAGGGAAGATTCCTATATTATCATCAAATTTTCCTTCAAACCAGTTTTCATCTACTTGACGAATTATAGTAATCATGTCACCCTAAATATCATAAAATATTATAATACCTTTTCTTGTAACAAATATATAATTTTTTTCTTATATATATACATTTTTTTCCTCATAAAAAATCTTTTAAAATATTTTCATAAATATTTTACCCAGTTATGTGATTAACACTTTTCATAAACATATTAACATGTTTTAATGTTTTTTAGACTTGTTATAAGCATGTCTTGTGCTTACTGGGTAGTTAAATTTAATTTTTTGTAAATCAATAGTTTTCCTCAAACAATATAATGTAAATGGACACATCAGTAAATTTGAAGAATATTATTAAAGAAAGTCAATAATTAGTTAATTGAAATTTATGCGAAAAAAAAATTTAAACAATTTTATTAGTTTTGTTGTTAATGTGCAGGTAAAATTGAGTCAATAATTTGTAAATAACAAAAAAAAAATTTTATCCTGCATTAAATACTTTTATCTATTGCGTACATTCATTATTCAACATGAACTTTTATATATTCATTTGTTTACTTATATTTTAATTATATGCAACACCATTCATCATTCAACAGTAATTCCACATGAGCTTTTATATATTCATTTGTTTACTTATATTTTAATTATATGCAACACCATGATCAGTTTAATTTTAGTTTTACTATTTATTTTTACTTACTTTAAAATAATTCAAAACATTTGATTGAAGTCTAAATTTTTTTTACATTTTAAATTTAAGAAAGTAAGAACATTGAGATTCTGCAATAAATTCCAGATCAAGTTTATAGATTTGGCTGATCAAGTTTATATGTTTAGCTAACCAAGTTTATTGTTGAATATAATTGCTTAATAGACATAATGATCTATATTTGCAACAGCTACCGCTGTTTTTCATAGCCACCTTGCCACCATGCTAACAGCTATCTGATTGGGGCCTATTTAAAATTGTGCTTAACTATAGTTGCCATTTTTTATCTACAATTTCAAATCTAAGTAAAATGAGACTATTCTCAGAAGACTATGCCATTTTTTATCTACAATTTCAAATCTAAGTAAAATGAGACTATTCTCAACAGGTAATATTTTTGATGAAAAAAGAGCTAGTTTGTTGCCCCAAACCGGAGAGAACTTTTTTTTACACCACAATATTCCTAAAATTCCAGAAATCCTTACATAATTGATTATTGCAAATAAAATTATATTGTTTTCATTTAGAATTTTGTATTTTTTAACTATAGTTCATCATTGCCATGTAAGACAATGATTTTTTGATTTAGTTTACACATTCTGTGTCACATGTCTTAAGAAAAAAGGTAAAAATAAATTTCTGCATTCTTGCATTACCAGCCAGAAACAGAATGAACTAAAAATAAAAATCATAAATTCTGGCTGGAACAGAATTCTGGTATACCCCTACTTTAAAAAAAAAAAAAGTTAAAAAAAAAGTTATTTAAAAAACAATTAAAAAACCCCATTTATATGTCTTTATCAATATTTGTAAAATTTTATCAAAAAATGAAACTTAAAAACTCACTTTTCTAAAAGGAAGTTCATTTCCTGACGCAGGTTTAAAAGTATATTTTGCTTTACATAAACCTTCTCGTGATACAATGCTGACAAGATCTTCACCACTGTCAACAGCTGATTCTACATTAGTTGCAGTTGATAACTGTATAAAAGATTCCTCTTTGACTAATTCTTTTGTTTGTTTTTTTGCCTCTTTACCAGATGGTGAATCTTTTATATTATTTAATACTGTTGAATCGTTATTATTTTTCATTGGTGGAGAGGCTTGGATATCTTTTATTGGTGAAGAAACTTGAACACCATTTATTAATGAAGAGTCTTTTTTATCTTTTGTTTGTGAAGAACTTTTTGTTTCTTTCACATTCGATGAATCAGGTGATAAATACTAAAAACATTGATATACATTATAATTATGATTAAATATTGTACGCTTTAATTAAATATATATATATATAATATATATATATATTTTTTTATACAAACACAAACCTTGATAATGCAACTACACAAAGAAAAACCTGGTATTTTCGGAGATGTAGGGTGAATTTAAACTTCCAACATCTTTTTTGTATATGTATATCTCAAAAAAGTTTAGTTTACGTTTTTGTAAGACATGTCTTCAAAAACATAAACTAAACTTTTTTGGTTCAACAATATAACTTAAGATCAAGTAAATCCAATTAATTTATCTCAAACTTATTCAAAAAAACTCCTTTTTTTAAATAGGTTTTTTGAGATCATTTGTTACTTGAAACTCAATATTGAATAAATTTTTTTAATCTAAACAACAGTTAACCTGCACTTCTAAATTACTTGGCAAGTAACAGGGTATAATTTTTTATTTCTGATATTTATGTTAAACTATTTGTTTTTAGACAGCAAAATGTTTTTTTTTTCTTATAGTATTTTATAGCTATATGCAATAAAAAATCAAAACATATTTACTTGAGTTTAAGTAAAATAAACCTCAATTAAATGTGCTTAATTATAATATTTTATTTTTATCATAATTTGTAAATTATATGTGATTACATGTATTTACATATGATATCTAGCCTTAAGTGTTGCAAGGCCTAGAAGGCTGTTATATGGTCATAAAAAGTTAACTTAGCCAACATCCTTTTCAAAGTAGATAATTACATAGTATAAACATACAAAAATAATTTAAAGATTTATTCAAGAAGCTTCATTTTAATCATATGTTGTTTATTGCTTTTATCTCACTTAGAGCCTTGTAAGCAAAATTGTTGACCCATTATTGGATAAATTTGGAACCTGTGTGTAAATTGCTTAGGACCAGGGAATCCCTTTATAATATAATACAATACTGTATGTGACATTAGATATTGTATTTCTAAAACAAACTGCAAGTTTATTTTAGAAATAAAATATTTCTAATGTCACATAAAGTACAAATATAAATAATATTTTATAAGCTTTCGGATTTTTGTTTCATAAGGCTAAAAAAAAATATTGATTCAAATTAAACCATATTGTGCTAAAATCAAAGTCAGTATGAGCTATGTAGAGACTGTTAGCATTTAAGCATTTAAACCAAACACCTGAGAGAAAAGACATGAAACAAAATATTGAAATGAAAAAAAAGGTTACAAAATTATTTCCAAAACATTTTAATTAGTTGAACATCTTATATATATTTCTGTGGTCAATAGTTTGAAATTTGATTGAAAAATAATAGTTGAAATTTGCATTACTAAAGTATTACTTAAAATAAGCTTCGTACTTTAAGCTTCGTAAAATTGTTCAAATACCAAAAAACAATAAGAAAATAAATAATAATAAAAGCAATAAACAAATAATTAATTTAAAATTAAAAAAAATTTGCTTGAGTAACTTTTAAAGATCAAGTTTAAGATAAACACTTAACACAATTCAAAAGTATTCTAAAATGATGAAAATAACCTGTTATCTCTTTATATATATATATATATATATATATATATATATATATATATATATATATATATATATATATATATATATATATATATATATATATATATATATGTATATATATATGTATACACAGTCGTGGATAGGAAAGGCGAGCAATTACATGATATTCTAACCACCTATATATTTTTTTGCAACAACTTAACCAGAGCTTATTTGAAAACGCTTCGAAAATGCTCTAAATAAAGTATAAGGTAATAAAGTGAGAAATTGCTTTTAAAGATATTATAAGAGATATTTATTTAATATTTATATTTACAAGATATTATATTGTTAAAAGAGTATTTTTTACAATGAATGTAAATGTTTTTAAAACAATTTGTATAATTAATTTTATAAACAACAACGAAAACGATTGTTTTAATAAACTTTTTGATGAACCCTTAAATCAATAATCAAAAACATAACAAAGTTATTTTTTCTGTTATGTCATGAAATTTTTCTAATGAAATTTGTTTACACTAAGCTAAACGCTTTTAAATATAGTTTTCATAGAATATTAAATTAAAGTATCATAGAATATTATATAAAACTTTTACTTATTTTAAATGTTTTTTTTTTTAATGACAAATGTAATTTTTTTAAAACAATTTGTATTCTTAATTTTTTAAACAACGACAACAATAAATGCGCTTGAAAATTATTTAAAAAAGTTTTCGTAATAATATAAAAACATTAAAAAAGATCAAAGTTTGTCTCATTTGTTTGAAAAAATTATAACCGAAATTTTTTGTATTAGTAGAATTTTAAAAAATCTTTTAATTTTCTTAAATGTTTAATTATTTATATTAGTATTTTTTTATTTGCTTATGCATTCTTTTTTTGACTGATATATAAAAATACATAAATAAATAAAAAATATTCATATAAATATTTTTATTTAGACATTGAAGATTTATTTGCTATTCTCCTAATATAAAAAAATCAGTCAGAACCTCATCAAACCAACGCAACGAGTTATTTAAACCTTAACAAAATTACAAAACACAATTAAAAATAATTTTTTATTAGAGTTTTAGTCTTTCAGATTTATATTAGTTGATTTTTTTCAGAGCTATTAGGGTGGGTGAATAAAAAAAAAAATTGTTTTTACTCAGTAATTGGTCAGCTTTATGTGAATAAAAATTTCAACAATTTTTTTTGAACTTTTATTCACATAAAGCTAAACAATTACTGAGTAAATTGCTTAACTTTACGTAAATGAAAATTTGTGCATAACTGCTGAAGTTTTTATTTAAGTAAAACTGACCAATTACTGAGTAAAAGCAATTGCTATTTTTTTATTCACGCTTTCTTTAAATTTGTCTTTCATTAAGATTTTTTTTTGTAGTTTAGCATGTTTATAATTTTTGGGACAAAAAATTAACGGGTACACTAAAACATCCCAGATAATGCTAATGTCCCCATAAGTGTTCCTTTTTTTATAAAATCTGTCCCCGTAAGTGCTTAACTATACAAATATATTATATATATATATATATATATATATATATATATATATATATATATATATATATATATATATATATATATATATATATATATATACATACACTACTAGTGCTTGATATACGAGCACATTTTTTTCCCCCCGTTAATCACAATTTTTATTTCTCTATTTTTACTATATTTTTCATGTGTTATTTTTTTTATATTTTTATTTTATGTCAATTTTTATTTATTCATTTTTAAATTTATTATTTTCGTAAAAAAATTTATTTTTTATAAATATTTTTATTATTTTTATTTAATTATTATCTATTATATTTATATTTTTATATATATATTTACAAAAACGATTATTTACATTAATATAACTAACCCTAACCCTAACCCTAAACCTGACCTTGCTGCCTGGCTAAACCAAACCCTCAGTCGATGTAGCAGCACTCCCTTGCGAGTCAGGCTATTTGTCAGTCGATGTATGTACTTTTCGCTTTGCATAAAAACTATTTACGGGGACATTTTTTTACAAAAAAAATGCTACTTACGAGGACAAAATATTATCGAGTACACTAAAATGTCCCCGTTACTGCTAATGTCCTCGTAAGTATCCATTTTAATGTAAAATCTGTTCGCGTTAGTGATACTATATGGATATATATATATATTATATATTTATATATATATAAATATATATATATATATATATATATAAATATATATATATATATATATATATATATATATATATATATATATATATATATATATATATATATAATTTTATGACAAAAAAATTTTATATATAATAAAATTTTTTTGTCATAATAGATCTCAATCATATTCAGATAGCAACAAACCTCAATGTAAGAAACAGGAAATATTCCAACATGACCATTTAATTCCCCCTCTAACCAGTTCTCATCAACTTGGCGCAATAGATGAATGATCTCAGTTTTTTTGAATTTGAGTTCTCTAATTTAAAAGAATAAAAATTATTTAATTAATTAAAACAATTATATTTCATACTGAGACTTTTATATAATATAATTTTTATCTAAGCTTTCAAAAACTTATTATAATAAATCCATTCTTAGATAAATATAAACTTATTATACCCTGGCCCCTCTGGGCTAAATGAATATTTAGCTTGTGCAAACTGATATGGCAATTTCAATCTTTCTTCCTCAGCAAGTCGTTTTTTTTCTTCTGCCAATTTTCTTTCATATTCTAACTTTTTACGCTCTTCTTCGATACGCTTAATTTCTAATTCTTTTTCCTTTTGCTTTTTCTCTTCAGCTTGAACCCGCAACCTGTCTAGCTCTTTTTGTTTACGAAGTCTTTCTTCTTCTTGAAGACGTTCCTTTTCACGCATTTCTCGTAGCATTTCTCGTTCTTGTTCTATTTCTTTATTTTTAAGTTCTTGTTTCCGTAGTTCAAAGAAGTCTGGTGGATTGTTATACTCAATATTAACACTTGAAGGTTTTGAAATTTCTTCTTTTTTGATGAGGTCCTCGAGATAGTTCACTTCCTAAATGATAAAAAAGAAAAATCATATCAATCATAGAGCTAAATATTTATTTAGCTCTATGATTGATATGATTTTTCATATTTATGATTTTGCATTTAATAAGAAAATGATGCCATTTTGTTAAGACAAAAAATACATCATTACATATTTTGCTTATTAAATCAAAACTTTAACACTGTTTTGCCAAAAACCTAAGAAAAGCTAATTATTTAAGCACACATGAGTAATATTATAAATACATTAGAATACATTAATACATTGGAATGATTACATAAGAATAATTACATTGGAATGATTGGAGTACTTTTATGTTTGATGAATGCTAAACTTACACTTGTTCATTTGATTATTCATTTATAGAGTAAAATAATTTATGTATCTATATTTATTTATTTAGAGTACTTAATTTATTTTGAAAAAATATGTTCTCTTATATCTCTTGAAGATAAGTTATTTAAAGAGATTTAAAAACCAATATAGCTGCTTCCCTTTTTATTTTTTCAGTTTTTGGCATTACCTGTGCAATATTGGCAAAAAAGAAAAAAAAAATTTATTTTTTATTGTATAAATAAAAAAAAATTACTTGTCTTGTTCCTTTTTTTGAGTTGTCAATAGTCAAAACTAAACAATAAAATTATGTTAATAAAAAAATATATATCAAAAATTTAATTTCATTTTTATGTTAAATGCTATTTTAAACGGGTTTTCAAATGTTAAAACATGAAGATTTTTACCGGTCGAAGAAGATGTTAAACCAGTCTCAGGAATTTGGCCACCTTTCTGTAATTGTCGATACCACTCAGAATTTATGGATTTTCTATTTTCATTATTTTGTACAACAGTCATTGAAGGTTTTTCTGTAAATAATTTTAATCAAAAAAGAAAATTAAAAACTAACAGAGTTTTTATATTAATCCTAATATACTCTGACAAATTTCTTTTATTTGAAGAGGATTTTAAAGTAGTAGGTTTTTTAAAATTAAAATTAAGACAAAGGATTAATTCATTAAAAGCAAAAAGACACCATCATCATCATCATTATCATCATCGTCATCATCATTTATTATCATTATTATCAGATAATACTATAGTAAGTGTTAAACTAAAAAAATGTTTCGGAAAGTAACTAACTTGATCCAAGAAAACTGTGAATATAAATTTATTGTACCACTTTTTAAGACCTCTTTTTAAGCTTTATTAAAATAAAACAATGTTTTTAATATTGTTTGCTAGAAATTTTTAGAAATTAAAAAAGATTGAAAAAAAAATTGCAGCTAATAATAAACTTCACTATTAACTTCTTAACTGTATATTAAAAATTACTGATATAAAAAACAAATGATATTAAATTGAAGAAAATCATTTTCTGACTTTTTTGAGTGAAGACTAAGTTCTCTTCTCTAAATAACAAAACAGTAGTAATGATGATGAGTGGTTTGAAATGCTTCTAAAAATTTACAAAATTCTGTAAAATCAAAGATTTACAAAGTTTATGTAAAAGTATATTTGCAAAAGTGTTATTTTAAAAATTCATTTTTGGAAAAAAAATCATCAATATTGCAACCACTAAGGATGTAAATAATTTTACAGAGCCCTGTAAATAATTACATCAAATATTGAAAATGTAACAACAAATCATTTGGCTTAAGTACAAGATATAATTTAATAAATAATTTTTTATTAATTTGTTTTAAATCATCAACAATCACCAACATTTTTATTTTAATGTAACCAATATAAATTTAATCTTTATATAAATCACACATATATAAACAATTTTATTGAATCAAAACAAATTGTTAAGCATGTTTTAAAGAAAACAAAATTACAAGGAGAACTCTGCCTAAATTATTTAAATAAAAAAATGAAAAAAATTTAAAATAATAACTATTTTATAGTATAATTTTTTTAGTATATTATTTCTATTTACTTTTTTTGTTTTTTGAAACTTGTTCTATAATTTTTGTATGCATTTCTATAATGTTTTATGTGAGACTTATGTTTTATATTAAAAGATAAACTTTAAAAATTTTACTACAATTTTTACTTAAAAAATAATTACATGCAAAAAATAGGTTTAAAAATGATGCAATTTAGCTGACTTAAATATTTTTGGAATAAAAAAGTAAATAAAATTTGAAAAGCATGTTCATGAAAATGTTTTAATCATGTCTGTGATTGAAAGAAAGTTTATTTTTAATATAAACTTAGTAAGTATTCTTTTATTACAGTTTAATATAAATAAATAGATAAACTTTTTCTTACTATAATTTTCAAAAGAAAAAAAAAAATTATAATGTAGTTGACATAATGGAATCCTTTTAAGTATTAATATTTATCAAAAAATAATTTAATTCTTAATATATTAAGCAAAAACACAATGTAACAAAGGACTCGCCCCCTTAAATTTTTTAATCTTTATTTATCTCCCTCTGAATTAAATGTTCATTTTGATGTAAAATTTTTCATTTAAGCTTAACTTCTTTTCTTGATATTAAAATAAAATCTTTTTTTATGTCATGTTGCATCAATCTATTATAATATTGTAAAGATAATTACATTGCATAAAGAAATAAAACAATTCTTTACTATAAATATTTTTAAACTCACAATTACAATACAATTCTTGTAATATAATCAATTCTCTTTCCTCAAGATTAGAAGTGGTATGATGATAGCAGTTTTCTTGACTGCATATTTTTATATTTTCTAACTAGAGACTGTATATAATCGTCTATCAAAGCAATAACTCATTTTCCTTGATATCTATTTCCATTTTTAAAATGTCTTAATAAAATCTTTCACCATGCTCCTCACTGATATCACCCATGTTTTCAGGGAAGAAATATAGGTGTGAATGCTACATATGAACCTTTATGGACATATGACAATCCAGTTTCTTGAATTTTTTAATAAGCATTGCAACCAGCTGTTTGTAATTAGGGTCATTGCAATTTTATAGGAATCCATGGATTACACAAAATTCACAACCTTTGACCTTTGCCTCAGATCGCTTTACAAACATGAGACAAATTTCTTGTAAAGCTTCTCCAAAATCCAAAGTTTTTACAAACTCTTACTATTTCATTTTGATATGAAGTGGGAGTAATAATACTTTTTTGGAACCTACAGGATGCTGCTTGAGAACATTGAGCAATCCTAGTTGTAGTTCTAGACCAATGAAATTTTTTGTAATGATCATCTGTCCTATGAGCAATGAAAACATGAATACTTTATGTATCCCCTTTGAAAGCCAAGCAAGAAAGCAACCATCTTTGAATTACCAACCACTTGAATTCAGAATAATTTTGTCTAGAAATTTTTTAACATTATCATAGTTTTTAACATTTCCTGTGTGGATCAATACTACTTTAAATTTTTAGCTATCTAAAAGAAGTTTAGGTCCTAACTTAGTAAGACCTAAACCTCTGATTAAATTATTTAGCTCACTCTGATTTGAAAAGTGAGACTGAAAAGATGATATTGGTAAAAAAGCTTTCTCTGTGTTTTTGCAACTTTTTTTGTAAGAAAAATGAAAAAACAGCATATAGCAACTTAAAATAGATAAAAATAATAGTAGCATTTAAAATATAAATGCGTAGCAAATACTTATTTAATTAAATTAACTAAAAGACTTTTGGAGAGTATGATAAGAAGTATACTTACATTTTGTAGTGTTTATGGTAGTGGTAGGCTGCCATCATATGGAACAGGTGCTTTAAATTATGGTATAATTGGATATTAAAAAGGTTGTCTCCCTTTTGCTTTTGTGTACTTCATAATATCAATTGTACAAAAGTAACAGTCATCATGATGGTTCTTGGGTTCTCTCCATACTCTGGAAATGACATGAAGCATAGCCTTTCTTTTACCTTGTAATTTGTAATAATAATTCTTTTACCTTGTAATTTGTACCTTGTAACCATCCTGCTAGAGCAGTTTGGCAAGTTTCACATATTACATAAGGGAACGATGGTTTGTCCTGATTACCCACTAGCATTCCAAAATATTTGGTACATACTATCCAAGATATAGTACCTTTCACAACCTTAGGTAATACCTGCATTTTGCCAATATAATATCCACATACATAGCAAAATTCTGACATCTTCTAATAGCTATTATGAAAAGAACAGAACTTACCTAGTTGACAAAAATATGCATATAATGCATATTAGATATGTATTTTGAGTAGCTAAGGATGTTTTAAAAAAAAATTACTCTGGTCTTGAGTGCAAACTTAAATGCAAAGATGCAGAACTTTTTTTATCTGTTTTACAACATGTAAACGATAAACTTCATACTAAAAGTATCTATCAATGACACATTTTTCTGTCTACAATATATGTATAATTATTTGCCTAGTAACCCACTTCTTTTCTTACCTCATCCAAGTATAGGCTGCAAAAGAAGCACACTAACAACCTCCCATGAAATGTTTTGTGAGGCACGGACAATGTATGGGCGCTCAGTTGCCCATTTGCGCTAAAAATGGTATAACTTTAAAACGGTCAATGATACAGAAATTTTTTTTACATTTTTGGAATTAGCAGAAAAAATATTTAATAAAAAATAAAAAATTTACAGTAGGCAAAAGTCTGTAAGATTGTGTAATTATTATTATTTAAAATTAATAGATTGATCAATTCAAAACAAACTTTAACATATTAATATCATTACTAAAAAAAAAAACTTACGAATTCTCATTTGCACAGTAGTAGATGCACCTGTTTTGGATGGATCCATAAAATTGAAGTTTGCTGCATGAATGTTTGGTAGAGACTTACGATGTTGGTTATTTGTTGCTGATCTATAACAGAAAATCATAAATCTATTCTTAAAATTGAAAAAATAACTTTACCAAATCACCAAAAATGCAAAAGCACTAATAAAATAATCTCTCTCTCTCTATCTATCTATCTATCTATCTACCTATATATATATATATATATATATATATATATATATATATATATATATATATATATATATATATATATATATATATATATATATATATATATACATATATATATATATATATATATAAGGGTGGTTTTAAAAACAACATTTTTTGAAAATGTCTTATGGCACCCCCTAAATGTGTTTTATATAATAAATTAATATTAAAGGGATCCCTAAGTGCTTCTAACATATGATCTCATATAAAAGAGCATAAAAAAAAAATATGTAAGTTTTTTTTCTTTTTCACTAAACTGTAATAATAAATGCATTCTAACAAAAAGCAATTGCCGAAATCACTGAAAAACAACTCCATTTTGATTTTATTTTTTCACCATTGAAACTCGATTGTTAGTCGTTAAAAATCACGTTAGTACGTCACAACAACTTTAAAATATCTACTTCGATTTTCAAGTAAAAAAAAGTCGTGATTAAATTTTTAAGTTTTAATCAAGTTTTTTATTTACTAGGTTGTTAAAGCGAAAAGTTGAAAAGTTGGTTTTTATCATCTTTGTTTATCAAAACTTCATGTTTAAAATAAGGCTTAAAAACGTTAGAGCAAAAAAAATACTGACTTTTATTTGCATTTTTATACTGTTTGAAAAAAAAAAACTAATAAAAAAGAATTAATTGTTATTATTATTAATTCTAATAATTATTAATTAATATATTATTAGTTAATTCTTTTTTATTAGTTTTTTTTTTCAAACAGTATAAAAATGCTAATAAAAACTAGCAATTTTTTTTACTTTAACATTTTCAAGCCTTATTTTAAACGTGAAGTATAATTCGATTTATTTAACCAAATTTTTTTGTTTCATCTTTTATTGGAAAACTTGAAATAGAAAAATTGAATAAAAACATCAACCATTTAAATGAAAAACTTAATTATATTTAAACTTTTATTAGTCCTTTATTCAAGAAACAATAAATTATAAAAAACGTGGTATCTAATTTTTTATTAAGTTTTTGACGATGTTTTTTTATTTATTGACGATAATTCCCCCCCCCCCCCCCCATTCACGAACATCGGCGCGACCTATAAGAGAGAGAGAGAGGGGGGGGGCAGAGAGAGCAAAAAAAAAAAAAAATTTTTTCGCAATTAGATTTTTTTTGCGTTAATTCAAGCCCTGTCTTTTTTCAATTCAACCTTATCAATTTAAACCAAAAAAATATAGCAAAAAAAACATAAATGTTAATTTAAGTAAAACATTTTACAATAATTATTTTATTTATCAAGCAAAAATGAGAGTAGCCGTCACTTTTGAAACCATAAAAATTACTGAAATAAATTTATTTTTCTACTAAGGAAATATTTTAAATAAACTTTCATGTGTCTAAATCAATACTCATTTGTTAAAAACTGACTAAAAAGAGTTTAAAATTTGACTTTTAATTTTTGGATGTGGAATTGCCCTTATAACACAAAAATATAAATTAAAATTAAAAAAAAAATTTTAATATACAAATATATTTCCACAAAATGCTACAAAACTTATTCTTGTAAGTAATTGTGTTAGTTAAAAAAAAAACGACTTTACTTTTAAATTTAATTACCAACTAATAAGTTTGCAATAATGACATTTTGTCTACTTTGTTTATTTTGACGTACAAACGTTAGTTTTTTGAGGCAGTAGAGTCAATAAACTTTGGACAAGACGCATTTTTTTTAATCGAAGAAAAGCGTTTTTTTGAAAATTAAATTTGTTAGTGTGTGTTCATTATTGCGTTTTAGAAAAAATAATATACATCAAACATTTTTTTTTTAATGCTCTTTCATATGAGATCATATCTTTATAGCACTTAGGGATCCCTTTAAATTAAAAAAAATTTTTGAATAAAAAAATTTTTTATTCTTAAATTTTTTATTCTTAAATTTTATTCTTAAATTTTTGAATAAAAATTTTTTTTATTCTTTTTTATTCTTTATTATTAAATTAAAAAATTATTTTTATGAGTCACTAAAGACCCTTAAACATCATATGAGTCCTTAATATTTTGAAAAAAAAGTTCTTTAAAAGCATATTATGTTGGGTCTCAAAAAGAGTGAAATTTTATAAAAATTTCAAAAATAATAAAAAAATGTATAATAACACAAATAAAAAAAGTTTATTACAAAAAATTATGAAAAGATGTACTTTTTTATTTTTTGTTAAAAAACAATAGTTTTTAAGCTAGTTATTAAACTAGCCATCTTTAGTAATGATTATTGTTTTTGGATGTTTTATAAAATTTCACTTCTTTTGAGACCCAACATGATATGCTTTTTAAGAACTTTTTGTTTTGAAATATTAGGGACCTAAATCTGATGTTTAAGGGTCTTGAGCAACCCCTAAATATTTTATTATTAAAAATTTATTATTAAAAATATATATATATATTATATTATATATATTATATATATATATATACACGTTGAAATAAATAGTATAAGTATATAATATATAAATCAAGAAGTGTATATGAAAATATGATTTGTATTTTTTGATTGCTCCTGCTTTAAAATTTTCTTGATTTTTTATTTAAATTATGTTAAAATTTATGTAATAAAAATTATCAATAAAAAATGAAAATACCTGCCACCTCCTAACCTTCTTGGAACATCTGCTGTACTGATTGTTGATGATCTATACATATCTTCTGGAGAACTACTTCGAGGACTGCGAGCTCCAACAGAAGATGCTCCATCATACTGCCGAAAAACGCCACTTTTAGCATCCGAAGTTAGTAATTTATATAAATGTGATTCACCTTTTAAAGTATTAATTAAAAGTTTACTATAAAAATAAATATTCAATGATGTAATATGCAAAATATAAACAAAAACAATCTTAAAAATTAAAGAAAAAGCTTTACAATTAATTTAACCATTTAACCTTCAGTGCTAGTATAAATTTCTTTACACATCATGATTTACAATAATTTTATTTATATTATAATATATATTACTTTATATTTATAATTATTTTTGGTTAATTATTTATAATAATTAAATCATAAGTATATACATATATATATATATATATATATATATATATATATATATATATATATATATATATATATATATATATATACTTATATATATAAGATAAATACTGAAGTAGGGAATGAGTCAGGTACAAGTGTACATATAAAAATAGTTTATGTGCAAGTAGAACCATATATATATATATATATATATATATATATATATATATATATATATATATATATATATATATATATATATATATATATATATATATATATATATATATATATATATATATATATATATATATATATATATATATATATATATATATATATATATATATATATATATATATATATATATATATATATAAATGTATATATCAATGGTTAAGAGCACAAAGGGAATACGTCCACTAACCATTGTTTTGAGAAATCTGAATTTGAAAGTTTGAAAACATACAATAATTTATGATATTTATTTATTGTCATGATTTTTAACCAAATGCATTCCTCAATTAATTCTGTCTTGTTTTTACTATTTTATCTTTATTTCTTTTACATACTTTAATTTCTAATTTGTTTAATGTTTACCTAATGTTTAAAGTTGGACATATTCCCTTTGTGCTCTTAACCATGGATATATATATATATATATATATATATATATATATATATATACATATATATATATATATACTTATAATATATATATATATATATATATATATATATATATATATAAATATATATATATATTTATAAGTATATATATATATATATTTATAAGTATATATATATATATATATATATATATATATATATATATATATATATTTATAAGTATATATATATATATATATATATATATATATATATATATATATATATATATATATATATATATATATATATATATAAGTATATATATATAAATGTATATAAATATATATATATATATATATAAATATATATATATATTTATAAGTATATGTATATATATATATATATATATATATATATATATATATATATATATATATATATATATATATATATATATATATGTATGTATATATATATATATATATATATATATATATATATATATATATATATATATATATATATATATATATATATATTTATATATATTAATTTTTACTTAATGAAAAAATATAATTTACCTAATAAATATTACATATAATTATTTACCTTCAATGCTAGTGTTAATTTCTTTATACATCTGTTTGTACCAGTCTGGGGCTTTATTTGGTGGTCCCTAATTTAATTTTTTAAAACTTAAAATCAATACATTTCAGGAAATACTTTTAGTTAAAATATTGATAGGAATTTAAAAGTAAAAAATTTAATAATATTAGAAATGTCAGAAGGAGACTTGGGATGTCTGCTTCCTCTCACATTACTACACATACTAAACCCTATAATAATAACCTTTTGTGATAAACTTCCGGAAGAACGATTTAAGCTATTGTTGTTATTTACATCCCTTGAATAATTCTTTGGCAAAGTTCTACTACGTTCTCGTTCAACAGGGCCCAAATCTAAAACATTACAATTTAATAGATACAAATAAATACAAATCCACTACACAAATTTAAAATGTCATTCAATAGAATAATTTTGTTATTCAATAGAATAATTATACACGGAGCAGTAAACATTTATTGATAGCATATTCAGCATCACGCAGGTTTTATTCATAACATTTAAAATATAACTATTAACAATAATTTATTTACAAATTTATAATACAATAATATTATTTAATAACTTATTGTTTCTAAAAAAATTTCAGTAACAAACAACAATAACATCATAATTAAACAATAATAGCATTGGAATTGTTCAAAACTTATATTTGATTTTGTAATTTAGCATTTAAGCTGATTCAACAACCAATAAAACCAAGTCAAAACTATTAAAACCAGATCTATTGATCAGATTAACCTGCTTTATCAGGTTATTTAGATGAGAATTAATAGATCATTTAGAATAGTGAGCTTTTAATTCTACTTTAAAAAGTAATCTTTAAAAAAATGAAGATAAACAAAAAAAAGTAAACTTTATCACATAACATGCAAACTTTAAAAATTAAAGTAAAAACAAATTAGTTGTCATTTTAATGAAGTCAACTCTTATTAAAATGACAAGGAATAACATCAATAGAAACAGAATTAGGTATCAATTGACGGATTTAAGCATGCATATAATGATGCAATAGAGAAGACTTGTAATATACTTAAGGGGTATAATAATAATAATAATGATGATGCAATCAAAAAATATATATTTAATTATATATCTACTACTGCTTTATAACATAACAAAATGATGAAGGGAATGAGTCAGGTACAAGTGTACATATAAAAATAGTTTATGTGCAAGTAGAACCATATATATATATATATATAAATGTATATATCGATGGTTAAGAGCACAAAGGGAATACGTCCACTAACCATTGTTTTGAGAAATCTGAATTTGAAAGTTTGAAAACATACAATAATTTATGATATTTATTTATTGTCATGATTTTTAACCTAATGCATTCCTCAATTAATTCTGTCTTGTTTTTAACTATTTTATTTTTATTTCTTTTACATACTTTAATTTCTAATTTGTTTAATGTTTACCTAATGTTTAATGTTGGACATATTCCCTTTGTGCTCTTAACCATAGATATATATATATATATATATATATATATATATATATATATATATATATATATATATATAATATATATATATATATATATATATATATATATATATATAAATATATATATATATATATATATATATATATATATATATATATATATATATATATATATATATATATATATATATATATATATATATATATATATATATATAAAGGAAGACAAAAGCAAATGTATTTACATCAACTGATGTGCTAAGACTTATGCAGATAATATCCTAATAAGGACAAGGTCAATTATAAAAAAAGTTTTTTATTACATTGAATGCATTATCTATGTCATAATTATCTATATTTTAATATCTATATGTTATATTATCAATATTTTTATATCTATATATTATATCGTCATAATTTTCATATCTATATTCTATATTATTAACATTTTGATGCCTATATATTATATGAACAATATTTTGATATCTTTGATATTATTAATATTTTTATATATATTATAATTTTTTTTTTTACAATTTTTTTATACTTTATATATGATATGCATTTCTTTTAATTTTTTCACATAACAAATCATTGCTACAGATTCTACATAAAACAAAATAATGATTCATAATAAAATAAAATAATGATTCTACATTATAAAACTATAATTTATTTGTTTATAGTGTTAAACTGTTTTAGCATAAACTTGCAACCAACCTTTAGATTAACAAAAATCTTTCTAAATCATAAATACTTTTTTGATAAAGGTGTTTTTTTTGTGTCAAAAAGTTATAATCACAACATTAAATAAGTAATAAATTTAATATTGTGAAGATTGCATATGCATACCGATATAATATATTGTTTAAAAAAAGATTTAAACCAATAGTTGATTTAAATATAATTTCATTAGTTTATTTGATTGGTTATTTTTATTATAATATCATTGGTCAATTTTATTACAATATAAACATTAAAATTCAATTATTTTAATCAACATAATCACAACAATATGAGGGGAAAAAAAAAGAGGTAGAAAAGCTTGGCTTTATTGCAAAAATGTAGGCAGAAAGTTTAATTTTAATTTATTTGATAAACAATTCATGAGTCCCATGTGCATTACCAGGCATACTGTTCATTATTTCAGCTTTCTTTTTATTTCTTTCCAAAAGACGTATAACAGGTAGTCTTTTATTACTTATTAAATCAGTTATATCAACAAGGGGTTCCCCACTAGATGGAGATAAAGGAGATGACATCGAGACAGATAAATAGCTTGGTGACATTGCGTCTCCATTCAACGAGGATGCATATCTAAAAAAAGATAATAACAAAAAATAATATAACAATATAAATTTGCTTATCTGTTTATTTAATTAAATTTGATTTAAAAATATATTTTAATATATTAAAAACATGTTGTTTATATATGAATATTGACTTTTGAATATATATTCTGACACTCCATGCTTATAGCAAATCTTTGTTTTTTTTTAATTGGTAATTATTTTAAGAATCAGATGCATTTTAAACAAAAAAATTTTTTTTTAATTAAATGCTATAAATTTAATTTATTGTACAATATATTGCATTAACAAAATTAATTTTTTTTTTAAAGTTTAAATTTAGAATACATACATATATATTTTATGATAAAAATTTTCAAAAATCTATAAAAACTAAAAACTAAGAGGTTATTGCATGAAATATGAAATTCCTTGATGATTATAAACTTAGATAAAAATACTAAAAAAATTATTTTATCAACTTGTTGCTCCCACGTTAAGGGCTGAGTGGACCCGAAAATTGGGGTTTTTTTGTCCCCAAGCTCCAATCACCACAATTTTTTGCAAAACATTCTCATTTGACATAAGTTTGAACATACAAAAGTTTGGAGTTTGCAAAATGTGTGTAATGTCAAAACTCAAACATCTAAAAATCCAGTGTACACCACTGTGTGTGTGTGTATATATATATATATATATATATATATATATATATATATATATATATATATATATATATATATATATATATATATATATATATATATATATATATAATTATATATATACAACCCTCAGAATTAGAAAAAACCTCAAACATTTATACTCGGACCTCTAAATTGTCGACCCTAATTCCGAGGGTTATATATATATATATATATATATATATATATATATATATATATATATATATATATATATATATATATATATATATATATATATATTAGGGTGTCCCAGCCGTCCCTTATAATCTAAAAAAGATCTATTCATATTCTTAAATTTTCTAATGATTCTCATAAGCAACTCAGTTAAATTTTTTTTTTAATTATTGGATTTAGGGAGCATAAGACCCTAGTTCTAAATCAGCTATAGAAGATTAAACAGAAATTATATTAAATTTGTAATAGCAGTACAAAAAAATTAGAAAGAATTATAAAAGGTCACAAAGATGTGTTAATGAAAACGAATATCTAAAAAGATAAATAAAAGATATAATTAATAAAAATATAATTACAAATTAAATTCTTCCAAAATAAATCTGACGAATAATATATCAACTTAACCAAGGGTGATTAGAAAGAACATTATGTCTACTACAAATTTTTTAAACACAAAAAATATTTAAAAGAGAGTGTTAACAAATATATTTGAAATCATGAAAAAGTTTGAAACAATCACCTACTTGGATCAAGAAGATATATTAAATAAAAAATAAAAACTAATTTCTAATTGTAAATATTAAAAAAATTTACAACTGTTATAAAAACAAATAACAAAATTTAAATTATCCCTATAAACTATTCCTTTGAAAAAAATTTTTCAATATTAATTTTTACAAAATACTGTAGATTCTATAACTTCCTGCTCACAAGAAAATACAGAAATTAAAATTTAATTTTAACAATTATAAATTTCCTGTAAAATATTTTATTCTATAATTTGATCTTTTGAAACTCAAACTTTCATCTTTCATGATCTTGCAATGATAAAAAACTGGCAGTACAAGAAAATTTAAGAACAACAAGCACTCTTTTTGTAGCATACACTAAAACAACTTATGTATACACATATACATATATAAATATATATAAATTAGTAGTAAATCAATTATCAAAATTTTTTTCATTTTATATTTAATTTACAAATTTATTATTGCTCTGCCTTTTTGAAAGGATTGGTAACTCTATTTTGAAAGAATAAATTTAAAATTATTTGTTTATAAACACATACGTGTGAGTGTATATATATATATATATATATATAAAAACACACACTAACACACAGTGACAGAACAAGTGGTGAGGGTACGCATCCTCTCCCCTCTGCCAGAATCTAAAAGTCCTAAAATATTTTAGAAATGGAGGACCTTATATATATATATATATATATATATATATATATATATATATATATATATATATATATATATATATATATATATATATATATATATATATATAAATGTTTAATATTTATATATAAATATATAAATCTAAGTACCCAATTTGCTAATATAATTTGTGCACTTTAATTCTAAAAACTATATGTTGATATATGTACTAAAGCCCTGCAGCTACCTATTTCAGTATGATACTATCATTTACATATGTATATCTATATACATATATATATATATATATATATATATATATATATATATATATATATATATATATATATATATATATATATATATATATATATATATATATATCAGGGTTCCCACTATTAAAACTAAAGCTAAAATTAAGGATTTTAAGGAGATTTAAGTAGATATTTTCCTAATATTTAAGGAGATTTGGTTGCGAACAACATTTTTTTGAAAGAAAAAGTAAGGAGAATTAAGGAGAAAACGATTACATTGAAAACATAATTTTATTTTTTTCAATAAATTTTAAATATAAACAGAGAAACTATTATTACTTTATATATATATATATATATATATATATATATATATATATATATATATATATATATATGTATATATAATTATAACTTTATTTTATAAAAACTATTATTTATATTGCAAAATTAAGAAGTTAATATTTTCAAGATATTAAAAAAGATTTTGTTTTTACTTTTTTAATATAAAATATCATTTTTGATATTTTTATTAATTTTGCTTTTATTAGAGACCTCATTCTAAAAAAAATATAAAAAATCCATTTACTTAGTTTCAATACATTAAGTGTCTACCAACAACATCAAAAAACATTTCAAGAACCACCCTAAAAAATTACTTAAATGCTTCATTTATTTGGATGTGTGATATTGTATGATTTCCTCTTACACATGATTGAAAACTAACTAAACATTATTTAACAGAGTGATCATGTAGTCAATATATAACAATCATTAATTAGTTGAGTAAATATTAAATTCTTATACAATAAAAGGAAATTTATATTTATTGCATTACCAAATCTAAACAAAAGATATGCACAATGAGGAATAAGCTAGTGGAAAAGTAAAAATGTTTTGAAAAATTTTTATAAACTCCTAAAAGTAGAAACTTTTAAAAGTATTTTAAAAAAACATTAAACTTTTGGGGTTAAAGCTTAAAAAAGTTTTTACACTTAAAAAAAAATTTATCCTCTACAATAAAATTATAAAAAAATTAATTATTCCTAATTTGTGACCTTAAAAAAGTAAACTTAAAAAATAAGCTCATTTTATTTTAGATAAATTACCAATAAATAGTGACTAGTATCACTATAGTACTAGAATACTATAACTACTACTATTGTTATTGAAACTTTTTCCAAGAAAGTTTATATAAATGAAGCTCTATATTAATGAATATTAATTTAAGAAAATCATCATTTATAAATACTGGTCAAGGTACCATTTCATAAATATACGTTAGTTTGAGAAAATCTTTATTAATCAACATTAACCATCAGTTAGAAAAAATCTTTATTTATCCAAATTGGTTTTGGAAGATCATTAATAAATTATATTAATGATTAACAACATTTATTTCTTAAAAAGTGTTCATTTAATATTTAACTTTATGACAAACAATTTTTAATAAATAAATTTATAATAAAAATCGTTAATGTTAGGTTAATGTAAGGTTAATATTAAGATAATGTTAAGTTTACGATTTATTTATTTAACTAAACAATTGCATTTATCAGCATTCTTATTTGTAAAAATAAAAAACTTTTTTTTAATGATTTTTCAATTTATTTGCTATTATCCTATTAATCCTGTATTGAAAGGAAAAGATTGCAGGTTAAAATATATTTAAAAATTTAAGCTTTATGAAGAAATTATTTTTATGAGATACTACTTATTTGTAATTATTCCTGAAACAACCACATCATTACCCATTTTTTTTTTTTTTTTTTTTAATATTGCTTTTTTAAATAACACCATGATACCATCTCATCTATTTTTCAACATGGAACCATTAAACATCCAAAAGAACAAAATTTGATATGGAACCATTAAATAATCCAAAAAATAAAATTTAAATTTAAGAATGATAAAGACGATCATTACTTAACTCAATACTGCCATCAAAACTTTACTTAAGCAATTTAAAATATAACTTAAATAAAACCTCAGCTATTGACATCTAATGTTATTTTTAAATATCATAAATGATTAATTTAATTTGAATTAAAACCAGTCTCCAGGAAGCAAAATTTAAGTCAATCTTTTTTAATTTTTAATTTTAATCATTAAGCATTTAAATCCAAAGAGCAACAACAAAATTGTCATCAAAACTTTATTTGTAAAATCTTTTAATCAACAACAAAATTATATACATCAAAACTTTATTTGTAAAATCTTTTAATCAACAACAAAATTGTATACATCAAAACTTTATTTGTAAAATCTTTTAATCAACAAATTATTGAAAGTTTAGAGTTCAGTCATAATCATGATAAATGAAATTATAATAACAAAATTAAAAGAGGATGATTTAGATAAATAATTTATTTTAAAAAATACTTATTAAAAGACTTATAATATTTATGAAATATTTATGAAATAAAAAATATTTATGAAATAAAAGCAATAGAACTCTTACCTCTTTTTACGCACATATGTTTCATCTAGAGAAAACCATTCTTCTTCATCTGGTGAATCATACATTCTTTTTGATTTCAAATTATATTCATTATTTATCTCAATAGAAATATTGAGTATTCAGATATCATATATCAAAAGTATATTTCAGATAAATTGATATATCTAATTGATAAAATATTTATATATATTGATGATAGATAAACAGTATGAATTTTACTTAAAATGATACATTAGTTGATATTTTTTCAAATTTTATGAAAGTTATATATATATATATATATATATATATATATATATATATATATATATATATATATATATATATATATATATATATATACAAACACATGTGTATATGCATGTATACTGTGTGTGTACATATAAACACAATTTACATATATTTATTACTACTATAATAATGAACATTTTATAAACTCTTAATAAGTATTATGATTATTTTATAAATAATATTATATCTTTTATAAAAAATTTATATAATATATAATATATAACATTATATATAATATAATAGAAATTATTTTATGAAAATTATACATTATAAATTATAGCAAAAATAATGATATATATAAAAAAGGTGGTTGGATACTTCGTATGATAGAAACATATACAAACTAAATATTTGCTTATAAATATTAAATAACATAAAAAAACAACAACAGAACAAGTTGGACAAAACCTTTTCTAAAAACAACATTAAAACAATTTTGAGGTAAAACTCTTAATTATTTATAGAGTTTTCATCAATTAAAAATGGTAATTAATGTAACCACAATTTATCAAAAATATAAAAGATTTATAATAAATCTAAACAAGTCTATAAAAATTTTCTTTAAAGTTTCTTAAAAAACAAGTTTTCTAAAAACTCAACTGCTGGAAAGAATAGCTTTGACTCTTAAAGATACAATTTCAAGATAATATGCAAAACAATGGAGTTACTCAAATCTTTATCATAGAGAAATAATTCATATGCCACTCTAATAAAATGCCATTCAACATGGATTAAAAGAGATTTGTCATGAATACAAAATTTTGTATATGATGAAAAAATTTTTTTTCAAAGTTGAACATAAAAATTTTACTCAACAAAATAAAAATAAATATAAAAAAAATTTCCTACTTAATTTTTTTTTTTCAATTCAAATAAATATTGATTTTAAATATCTTAAAAAATGAAAGATTTAAACTTCTAAAATATATATTACTCTTTAAAAAAAACAAAAAAAAAACAACAATAATTGATTACTACAACAAAGACCAAGCATCTAAAGGATTATATTTTCTTTTTAAAATAAAATTCTTTTTTACTATGTTTTTTAAACATGTAATATGATAACAAAGAAATTCAAAATAAAGCTTTTTCTGTTTGACTATCTAATTAAAAATATTCTCATCTAAGTGTTGAACTTAACCAGACTTTAAACTTAAATATTTAACCAAATGTTAAGAAAAATGTTTTTATGTGCATTTTTACAATAAAACAAAACAAAAATAACAATTTTAAAACATTTTTTAATTAAACCATAAATTTCAGATATTCTGAAATGTTTAAATTCATAATACATAATAGCTTTTCCTGTTCTACCAATGCAAAAAATTATTAATTTTATTATAAAGCAATTCACTTTGTGTATACCATACTTATTGAATAACTTTCTTTATATAAAAGTATTAATAACTTTGTTTAAAAATACTACTGTTAGTTCAGCTGTGAGGTTAACATTGTTTTATGTTTTCATACAAAACATTTTTGAAAGTTTTTAGAACAAGAGTGTTAGATGCTTTTTGTAAATAAACACTTTTTAAAATGAAGAAAACCATAGAACTCTAAAATATTCTTACCATCAAAATCTGTTTGATCAGTTGAACCAAAAGAGGTTTTTCTGTAAAGATTTCTTGGACCTAAATAATTTATATTTCTTATAAATTGTTCTAAATAAAAAAAAAAATTATGGTTTGCTACATCATACAGTCAGAAGCTATTTAAACTGCAAAATCACTGGGGTGAATAAATATAAACAAATTACTTTTATAAAAGGAATTTTATTTTTAAATTTTTTTTGCATACTTTTTTTTTTTTTTACACACTAATTTTTTTTGCATACCAATTTTTGTTGAAAAGAATAGTGATTATAATTCAATTAAAATTCAGGATTTTTTTTTATATAGATTATTATTATTGTAACTTATACAGTAATATTAGGGGTTTGTAACTACTTTTAAAATTTAAAAAAAAACCTCTTGATTTTTTGCTATCTCCATCAAGTAAATTTTCCTGGCTTCCAAAAAAACGTTTCATATAGCTTTGACCTTGTGGTATAGACTCTTCAAAAACAGAATTTTTAGGAACAACAGTCTCTTCAAAAGATTCTATTTTTTGAGGTGATTTATGGACAAATAATTTTGGAGATGAGGGTGCTGAAGAAACTGGTGTTTTGGGTCCAATTTTAAGGGTAACACGGGTTGATTCTTCTTCTGGAGCAATCCCAATAGATTGTATAACATTTGCATCATCATCTGAACTAAAAATTCAAGTCAACAATGTCTTTAATATATATATCAGATGAGTACATTGATTTTTTAGATTTTTAGCTCACATCAAACATTTTGTAAATAATTGCAGTGATTGGAGCTTGGGAACAAAAAAACCCTAATTTGTTAACAAGAACAACGAATTTATATAATATTTTCTTTACAACTTTTACCTAAATTTATATTCACCAATAAATTTTAAACTTCATGATCTTTAAACTTCATCTCTTATTTTTCAAAAATTATGACTATAAAAAGTTCTAACCCCTTTAATTTAAGGGGGCTGTAAACTTTGCAGGGTCATAAAAACTGAACACCAAGAGATTATTGCATGAAATTTGAAATTTGTTGATGAATATAAACTTAGATAAAAATAGCAAAAAAAAATTTTTATAAAATTGTTGCTCTCGTGTTAAGGGCTGGGTGGGCCCAAAAATTAAGTGTTTTTTGTTCCCAAGGTCCAATCACCACAATTCTTTGCAAAACATTCTCATTTGACATAATCATGATCAAAAGTTTAGAGTTTGCGCAATTCCTGTAAGTGTCAAAACTCAAACATCTAAAAATCCAGTGAACATCTCTGAGTGTATGTATGTATGTATGTATGTATGTATGTATGTATGTATGTATGTATGTATGTATGTATGTATGTATGTATGTATGATGTATGTATGTATGTTTGTATGTATGTATGTATATATATATATATATATATATATATATATATATATATATATATATATATATATATATATATATATATATATATATATATAAAATTATTATTATTCAAGGACTAAATTAAGCAATTGCAAATCGCAAATTGCGATGGGCTAAAGACATTTAATGATCTTGAAAGTATATTATTTGAAGCAATTACGATCACTAATTTTTATATTCATTGCTCAAAGTTTTTTGGTTATTTAACCATTAGGTCAGGCAAAGCAAATTTTAAAATTAAAGTGTGTACCTTTCGGACCACAAGTATCATCAAGCAAAATACTTGTTTATTTGGATAGGTATGTTGATTACCACATTTCATTTTTTTTCAATTATGCTATGTAGCAGTATTTTTATCCCTCAGTTGTATCACACCGTTTTATTACCTTGTATAACATTGTTTTATTACCTGGATTAACATCAGTTTTATTACCTGGACTAACATCTGTTTTATTACCTGGATTAACCTCTGATTTATTACTCGGATTAACATTGGTTATATTACCAGATTAACATCTATTTTTAAAAAGTAATATTTAAGACATATTACTATAAGAGTCTTAAAGACCTTTACTATTTTTGTTGCAGTAAAATTATTTTTTCTGCAAAAATCTTTGCGATCTGATAAATTTGAGTTAATTTGCCCTTGTTATAATTACTACTTTTTTAATTATTAATATATAACCAAGTTTAAATAAATTACATAGATATAACTTACCGAGAAAGAACAAGAGAAAGAGAATATCTAGATTTTTTTACTGCATTTAATGATTCAGTGTGGTATAAATTTTCAGTACTTGATCCATTTATTTCTTTTACAATATCTCCAACTCGAACACCACCAATTTCTGCTTTACCACCAGGAGTTACCTAAATAAAATTTATTTTAAAAAAACTCAAAATTTTCATTTCGTATATTTCAAGAATTTTAAAATATATTTCTATTATTCTTACATTGTGTATGTATGTGTGTGTACGTGTGTACAAGAAGTACACACGTAGAAAACAATATACAAAAATATTTTACAAGTTTCAACATATTTTTGTACAATAAAATTCTTCATCAGTTTTATATCTTTTTGGTAAACATGTTTAACAAACCCAGCTTTTGCAATTTGTACTTTCAAATATCAATCATTTACAACTTTTATTTTTTACATTTTTTTGCATTTTTTATACACGTTAGTGTAACTTGATATGTTACATGTGTATTATAACCATCCAATACTAACCTGGAGTTTTTTTAGTTGTTGGTATAAATAATTTATTCAGCTATTGAATAAATTGTTTATCTTCCATCCATCTAAAGGTGTAGTTGTATATTCAGCGTTTGACAGACCACTTTAACACCAACTGCATTATAGATGCTGTTTTAACTTAAATATTATAAATAGTGGAATTGTGGTAATTGCATTGATGCAATTACAAACTGCAAGCCTTCCTAGGAAACACATGTGGTTTTTTGTCTTGCATGTCCACGCATGAGTGTTTTATTTTAGAAAACTTGGTCATGGCCATTTGCAAGTTTATTATACTAAGCGTTGCAGAAAAAACTAAATTTCAAAAACAAAGAAACCAAAACTAACAAAATTGGAAATTAAAACAATTTTAAATAGAACAAAGTTTTAAAAAATTAATAATTTAAACTGTTTTTATTTTTATTTCTTTAGAGTAGTGGTTATTTTCAGCAACAAAATTGGATAAAGTAAAGCAACAAAAAAAAAAACAGTTTTAAGTTGACACTAAAAAGAATGATTTTCCTCTATTTTATTTGTTGTTTTTTAAAGAGGAAAGCAAAAATATAAATTGCTATCTGTTTGTAAAATATATTTGTATAATTTTAATGTAATAAGTATATATTGTCCCTATATGAACACGTCTATGTAATGCATGTGTGTATATTTTTATGTAACTTTTTTTATTATATAACTATATTTATTTGTTCGTTAGAATATGCACGTTTAGCTTTAGATAAGGCATTTACTTCATGGAATGTCTGTGGTTCTCACCACTTCCCAATTTTTGTTTTTCTACCTACCCCCTCCCTTTTGGTCTGCTATGTTATTGGTGAAATATACATAAACAATTATTAATAATTATTATTATCAATTGCATAACAATTATTAATAATTATTATTGTTAATTGTTTACCAATAACATAGTAGGAGGCGGGTAGAACTAAGCGCACAGAGCCAAATGTTAAAAAGCAACTGGTATCCAAAATTACAAAGCGCTAAAAGTTTGGGGATAAAAACTCCTGCAAATATATATATCAATTTATATATATTGAAACAAATGACCAGAGGGACGCCAGTGTCCTGAGGAATCACACGCATTTCCTGGGAAGGCTTGAACTGTATAATCTATTTTTTCATTATTACCAACCAATTTTAATGGGCGGTTACAGGTTGGCCACATAAAATTTTTATAAGAAAAAGAGGATGTTACAGGATTTCAGATGAGATTATGCATTTATTTTAGAGGATTTTTTTTTGCAAAACTACAAAATTTTGAATAAAAATAGAGGATTTTAAAATATTTTAAATTGGTTAAATATCCATTTTTCCAGAGGACAGAGGCTTTGGACAGAGGCCAAAAATGTCATTTTTTTTGTTAGATGACATGGATTTCAAAAATTGATTTTTTTCAGATGTTAACCAGATTTGTAGATCGTGAACTTTGAACATTATACTACCATCAAGTACCATTATACTTTAACTCCTCTTTTTTATTTCTTCAATAAGAATTGAAGAAATAAAAAAGAGGAGTTAAAGAGGAGACTTGATCACATTTTTAATTTTTAGAGGATTTTAAAGGAGGTCTTTGAAAAAAGAGGACTTTAGAGGATTTTTGAGGAACTGTGGCCATCCTGGGTTAGCATCACGACAGCAAATTATTGATTTCCTGCCTTGGTCACCAGAAAACCTGATTTTGCCAAAATTACATAAATTGCACTAACTATTTTTATTAATATTTGCTTCAAGAAATTGCTTTCTACATGTTTGGAAATATTATGCTACAATTTCTTTAGTTCAAGCTTTCAGTGTTGATATGTTACTTGCAACTCTAATGCTTAATTTGTGTCTCCATCTGTTAATAAAAAGATAACACCAGTCTTTTCTAGGTTGGCCCTTTTTGAATTAACTTTTTTTTTTTTTTTTTTTTTTTTTTTTAACATCTTCACTTCCAACAAGGCTGCAAGCAACCACTATAAAAGTTGGAAGTTACTGGAAGAGAAAAGACTAAATCTGTAGAGCAAGATAATGATTGACTGATGACTTAAAAGATTGCAAATTATATGAATCAGGAAAGCAAGATGAAGGAAGCGAATTCCAAAGAACTGATGTTCGAGGAAAAAAACTAGAAGAATAAGAGTTTTTGAAGCACTTAGGAACAGTCACAGAAAAAGGATGAGACTTAATTGAATGGCGAGTAACACGAGAATGAATTTTAGTAGATGGCACAAGGGACGCTAGCTCTTTAGAGCAGTGCCCATTATAGTATTTGTAGAAAAGAGAAAGAGAAGCAACATTACGACGATGTGACAAAGGTTGGAGATTGGCTGCCAGAGCAGGTCCAACTATGTTTACAATTCGTTTTTGCACCTTGTCTAAAAGAGAAAGAGCATCATTAGAAGATCCGCCCCAGATGTGGCAACAGTATTCCATACAGGGACGGATTTGAGATTTATAGAGATAGAGAATAGAATCTGGAGTAAGAAAGTGTCGAGCTCGATAAAGAGATGCAACCTTAGCAGATGCTAATTTTGCAATGGATTTGATATACGGTTTAAAAGAAAGATCAGAAGTAAGAGTTAATCCTAGAAGATGAATGGTAGATGACTCATCTAGTACATTACCATTCATAAATATAGGAAGATCTAAATTATTACGATAACGATTGGCCGAATAAAATTGAGTTTTATCTGAATTAAAGTTCACCAGCCACTGTGAGCCCCATGCTGTAGCAGAAGTGAGATCCTTTTCAAGCTCAGATACCCCCTCCAAGCAATCAGAGAGTGTAGGCTTCTTATCATGACAAGAGTAAATGGTAGTGTCGTCAGCGAATAATGCCACCTTAGATGTGAGAATATCTGGAAGATCGTTAATGTAAATTAAAAAGAGTATAGGGCCAAGGATTGAACCTTGAGGAACCCCTGAAGTTACAGGATGTGAAGAAGAGTGTTGTCCATCGAGGACAACTTTTATACTACGATTGGAAAGAAAGGACTCAATAATCTTAAAGACGTTACCAGCTACACCATAAGAAGAAAGCTTATGGAGAAGACCAGCATGCCAAACTAGTTTGATTAGTAACTTTTAAATAACCGGCAACAATATCTATGGTTTAACTTCTACCAAAACCTCAATCTGATAATTTTGCTACCATTTCTACCAATATTAATTCAACTTAGAGTTGTTGCTGTGCCAATTGTTGCTTTGCCAGTTGTTGCTGTGCCAGTTGTTGCTGTGCCAGTTGTTGCTGTGCCAGTTGCTGCTGTGCCAGTTGTTGCTGTGCCAGTTGCTGCTGTGCCAGTTGTTGCTGTGCCAGTTGTTGCTGTGCCATACTGCTCCTTAGAGTATTTTTATTTTTAAGTTTTTTTTGTTATGTTTTCAAATTTTGAATTGATTTTGATTTTGTTAATTGATTTAAATTGATTTAGATTTGCATAGGAAATTGTTATAAGTAAATTATAGTAAAGAATAAGAAATAATAGTGATAGAATAACTGTTATCAAAGTTAAAAAAATTAATTAATTAGATGCGAATAATAGGTAACTTTTCTATAATTCCGTTATAACTTTTTCAAGTAATAACAAATTCATCTCTGAAAAAGGATTTTTAATCGGTTGATAACTGGGGCTAGAAAAAAATTTACAATATTTTATATATTATAATTTTATACTTACATTTACTATTAATTAAATACTGGCATATATCTATATATTTTTAAACTCTAATTTACTTCCAACAAGGTTGCAAGCAACCACTATTAAGTTATGACTTAACTTTAAAATAGGTAGGAGAGATTAAAAAGCTAGGAAACAGTTAACTGATGACTTTTAAAGTTGTAGGCTGTATAAAAACTGAAAACATGAAGAAGGCTCAGAGTTATAAGGTTATTTTAATGTGCAAGAAAAAAAACTGAATTGATAAAAGTTTTTATAGCATAAAGGGATACAGTAAAAGGATACAACTTGTTGAATAAAAAGCCAAATAAGAATGAGTTTTGGTTTATAGTAAAGAGATGATAGCTCATTTGAGCATGGAACATCATTAGAGAAACAGCATAAAAGAGGAAGACTAAATCCTAATAATAATGATGATGACAATGATGATGATGATGATGATGATGATGATGATGATGATGATGATGATGATGATGATGATGATGATGATGATGATGATGATGATGATGATGACAATGATGATAGCAATAATGATCATGATGATGAACATGTTGATCATAATGATTTTATATATGCATATATATACAAAATATAATATGAATTTTGAATAAAAAAAAAAAACTTTAGGATGTTAAAATGTTTATGCAGCCCCAGTCACAAACCTGGCCCTAGCTATTTTTTATCAAGTCTGGCCCCAGTCAAATATCAACCCCATTGGCTTACTATACCCCAGATGTGCTTTGTAAGCCCTCTAGAACATTGCTTTTGTCAAAAAGACATATTTCTGAAATGTATTAAAATTAACTAGTGTCAGTGTTACATGCATCAGTTTTACTTATTAGGGTGAGTACAATTATATAAATGTATGTAGCAGTGACCTATTCCTAGCCCCAATCTTGGGATGCTGAAACCTGGGGCCTGCTTTTCAAGCTCTTTTGAGTATTATGTAATTAGGCAATCA